CCTGGCCGGCAACAAGGCGGTCGAAGCGCAGGGCCTTGGGGATCAGAAGAGTAGCACCCTTCTTCATCCGGACAGTGTACTCGCCTGAGTCCTCAATGGCGAAGACCTCAACCTTGTCACCATGCTCCCTCTTGAACTCTTCCGCTAGTTCCTTGGATGCCTCGAAAGGATCAAGATCCTCCTCAATCTGGATCTCTTGCATGAGCTGCTTGTTCTTAGGGTCATAGCCGTTGAACAGCTCTGGCTCAATAAGACGAATACCAGAGTGTTCAAGAATGTACTTTTCGTACTTTGGCTTGACATCCTTGTCGTCAATTGGCTCGTTTGTCTTTGCATCGACCCAGCCAGAGTAGCTCTTGCCCTTGAGAGGACCGTTATGGTTCTTGATAAGACCCATGATCCAGGCCATCTCAACACATCCTTCAATGGAGAATTCGCCGTAGGCCTCCATCTCCCAGCGCGTCCTCGAGTTACCCCAGGGACCAACCTCGGCAAAACCGGTGACGACAACAACCTTCTCAAGGTCAACCATGCCCTTGAGGTTCTCGTTAAGAGGCTTGACTTCGGTATCCCAATCAGGGAGCTTGGGGAAATCGAACTTCATGTTTGCACGGGGTTCGATCTTGGCAGTCTTGTACAGAGCCTCGCTCGCCTCGCCGTTGACGACCTTGTTCTCAATGGCGTTTTCCTTGATGACAGCCCTGCGGATATCACTTGTTTCCGTGAGCTCCTTACGGAGGTCTGTCATGAGGTCCTTGAGATTAGGAATGTATTGGAAGCCACCGTTGAGATCGGCCCAAACGGGCTCGACCTGGCACAGGTTGACAATCGGTGGTGCCATCAGACCAAGCAGATTAAAGGCCATTTCTTGCTGAGAGAAGGTGCGTACACCATACTTCTCGATACCTTCGGCGACAATGTTGTTGGCGCCCATAAGTCCGGTACCACGGGTCCAGCCAATGACGGCACCGCAAATCGTAAGATAGTTGCCCCAGCTTTCTGAGTGCCACCTTGAGAACAGAGTCTCTAGCGAAATCTTGGATTCCGAGTAGAGACCATCGTTGCCAAAAGTGCCGTGGTTGGGCGACAAGGGAAGAATGACTTGTGCTGGGCGGGTCTCGTAACCGTAAGCCTGCTTCTGCTTCTTGACAGCTCCGAGCATACGCAAGAGGTTGGTCAGCATGATGCGATGTGCGAGCTCAGACTTGGAGTCAATGCTATCAATCTCACGGCCATTCTCGGGGATGGCGGCGAAAGGAACGATTAGATCAAGGTCCCAGCCGAGGCCCTTCTTGGTGTCGAAGATGTAGTCAATCAAAGCTTCAACATCCTGGTTGCTACCTTGGTTGAAAGGCACAACAATCAGCTGGGAACCGCGAGCACCATATCGTGAGTACATGGATTGGTAGTACTCAGTAACTTCGCGTGAGAACCTAGAAGTCGTCACAACAACCTTGGCTCCACCGCTGATGAGGCCCTGAAGGACCTGAGCACCGATAGAACCGGCACCGGCACCTGTCATAAGAGCGTACTTGCCCTGGAACGTGACACCAGACTTGGCGGCATCCTCAAGACAGTCGAGGTAGACACCGGTCAGCTTCTTGCTGTACTCCCAGCCGTGATCATCTTTCCTCTTGAGATGCAGGAAGGGAATGGTCTCGACCTTGCCTTGTTTAGAGGCGTGCACGCGACCGTTGCGACCCCGCTTACCACCGACGGCCTTGCCGTTCTCACTAGGCATGATTTGGCCCTCATTCATGGAAAGAGAGCGAATGACGTTGCTGTACAAGCTCTTGATTTGCAGCTGCGATGATTTCGAAAGCTTGTGTTGCTGCTTAATGAGCTTGTAAATTCTTTGCAGGTCATTTTGGACTTTTGTTCGGTTGCCGTACTCGGACAGCTTTCCTCCTTCAGCCATTTCGCGCACGTAATGCTCAAGCTTCCGAACGCTCGCTCTTGGAACTTCTTGGTAGTTCATGTTGCCCTTGGGGTCAATCTCAAGATGGGGTGCGGTGGGTATGGCGACATCCTTGTAGACGGGTGCCTCATTCAACACCTCTTTGCAGTTGTCAATGAGTTGTTGACCAAGTTCTTTTGCAAGCTCATATGTTTCACCGCGCTCAGTAGGGCAGTGGTCCATGTGATACTGCATGAAGTCAAGAAGCAGCGGGTTCGATCGGTTCATGATGGCAATGCAGCGGCTGACAATCTCACGATCTACAGCCTTGAGTTTGCCGAAGATGATGTCGTAGTACATGGTGAGGGCATCTTGGCGAGCCCAGTTCCATGATGAGTCGTAGACACGCGCCTTGAGCGGCGTAAACTGAGGCTCAATTCCAGACGCGTAAAATTCGCCATGCTCAGTGGTCCACAGATCAAGCTGGGCTTGAAGCGCGGACTGGGCCTTTTGCGAATCGACAAAAGACTTGTCGCCTGAGCGCAGGTCAATCTTGAGGTATCGCGCAAACAACTCAAGCTGTTGCTTGAAAAGTTGGCGTTGGTCCTTGGTCAGGGCGTCGATGGCCGCAGGGTCCATCATCATGCCGCCACCAGAACCGCCAGAATCGCCGCCGGCTGTAGGAGCAGACAGGTTGATTCCGGCAATGCCTGCATATTTGTTCGCCTGCTCATCCAAGAAGGCCTTGCCTTCCGCCTCGGAACCCAGACGCGCGGGTGGCTCGTTGGTAATGGCGAGCAGCAGGACTCCGTCCTGTCGGCCTTGCGCCAACCCCCACCTTGTCTCGAGATGCTTGCGCACAGCTGTGATGTTGAAGCCACCAGGCATCTTGGAGGACACCATACGGGCAATGAGGGAAGAAGATTGTTTTCCAAGCTGACCATTGAAGGTAGCCTGCATTGAAGCACCGAGCTCGTCGAGAGGGGTGTCTTCAGGCTTCTCTGGGGTGGAGCCGAATTCCTTGCCCAGGTCTCCGAGGATTTCGTTCTGGAGGGTAGATTTGCCTAGAGGTACAAGTCAGTTGGAGTAGTACTTGGTGGGTGTGCAATTGGTCTTACCTCCGACCAAATCCTTGATGGCCTTGGACAACGGAATGTCCATAAGGGGCTTCTTGAGCTTCTGGGCTACGAGCGTTCGCAGAATGTCGGTAGCCGTGACTGGTGCATCTGGAACCTGAGCTGCAGGCCCAGCGCTTGGTGGTGGTGGAGCGGCAGCGGCAGCGGGTGATGATGCAGCGGGGACAGACGAGGAGGCAGCTGGGGCAGATGCTGGAGCCTCTGGCTCCTCCTCTATAGGGTCTACATCGTAGTAGATGTCTTTTGCGTCCTTGTTGTAGCAGAGGATTTGACGCTGCAGTGATCGGGCAGCATCGTGTGCTTCGTATTTGCTGGCCAGTGTGCGCTTTGCCATTACGCCGAGTGTGTCTGCGGGGCCAATCTCGACGATGCGCTCCGTCGTCTTCTCGCCGAGGACGACATCCTGCGTCTCAATCCACCTGACAGGCGAGGCGAATTGATATGCGAGCAGCTCAATGAGCAGCGTGTGGGAGAGCTCCTGCTCGACCTCTGGACGCATGGTGAGGTGGGTGCGGAGGGCGGAGGAGGTGGAGGTGGAGGAGGAGGAGGAGGAAGCGTGGATTGAGGCTCGACGGAGCTCAATGGGGTATCTCAGTCACAAAATAGACAAAAGGACTCGTGGGACAAGGAGGGCAGAGGGGCGCCAGGGGGAAGACGCGCTATTAGGTGGGTAGTGGGTAGTGTATGGTGCGGTGAGGGCACGACTGTGATGCGATGCGGATCAAGGGTCCGGGAGGGGTTGCAGTTTGTTTGCCTGTCCCCGCGGAAACTTTGTCTGGCGGGCAGCGAAGAAAAAAAGCTTGGAGCGGGTGTTGCAGGAAGGCCAGGCCCAACGCATTGACGGGTTATCGGTTGGGTACAGAACAGCGGCGTGGCCTTTGGTTGTTGCTGGCAGGGCCGTTGAGGATTTCGCCCGCCTCCATGCTATGGCTGCTCACTAAAATTCCCGGATCCCTGTCCGGCACTGCAGCTCGTTACTGCTTTGGCCGATGCTCCACGACGCAGCGCCCCCATGTCGCCGGGAACAGTTGGGCTTGCGAGGGCCACTTGGTACTGCACAAGGCAGCAGTAAACGACGACGACAGGATTGGATCGCGACATTCTCTGGGCAGGCGGATGCTCAACAGCTGCGTGCTATCGGATGGGCGCGTCGGCGATCCGACTTGTTGAGCAGAGCCCCCCAGCAGTTTGTGTAGGAACATAATAGTCTGCGTACCGTAGCGTGGACCCCTGCTGGTCCTAGCCACCCATGCATACGAATGCGGGCCCATTTGTGAGGTGCTCGTCGAAAAAGTCGACGAGAACGGCGCCATCATAATCCACGCCAGCGCACCGCCTCCGACTCATTGCTCTCCTGCTCTCCCCACCCCAATTGCCTGAGCACTGCCGAGTGTCTTTTGTCCAAAACCCCCGGGGCCCCTCTCTCCAATTCCTGTTGCCTGCGGTTGAATCCTCGACGCCGCTCGCAACACTTACCGCACCCAGCACGGGAGCTGCTACACCACACCCCTAGCAGTACACTCCAATTCCCGCGCACACGACCACACACATACACACACAATCCCACTGTGGCCAGATTGACTTCTGTCTGAGTGAAGAGGTACGCATTGGCCGCTGCCTGCGGGCAATTGGTCCCCAGCAGCGTCTTCAATTGCTCGCACCGGCATCGCTCCTTCCCCGCCCACCGCACTTGCCTACTCACACTGCTCAGACGCTCTTTCCTGCTCCAAGTCGCTCTTTCCGTAGAGCCATAATCAGTCCCGAGGTATGCGCCTTCCGCTTTCCGCTTTCCGCTTTCCGCTCCCTACTCACTGCTTCCTGCCTCCCGTCATCTCCTACCCCAAAACTCCCCAAGACTGTGCCCCACCCGCCACTAGCACCCACAAAACAAACACACGCACACACATACACACATAGCTGACACCCGCCATTCCACAGGGCACCAAGTAATCCCAATACCCACAGCCATGTACGGTTCCGGCCAGCAGACGGGCATCTCCACGCCCCGGTCGGCGGCAAACCTGCGCCCGCTCATCCTCTCCCACGGCTCGCTCGAGTACACGCTCCTCATTCCCACTGCTCTGCACTTCAATGCGCAGCAACTGAGGGATACCTTCACCTCTACCCTTCCCGAGCCCACCGACGAGCTTGCCCAAGATGATGAGCCATCTTCGGTGCCTGAGCTGGTGGCTCGATACCTGGGCTTCGTGGCCAAGGAGGTAGAGGAGGGCGAAGACCCTGATTCGTTTGAGGAAGTCCTAAAGCTAGTCCTCACCGAATTCGAGCGTGCTTTCTTGCGCGGCAACGAGGTGCATGCGCTGGCCGCTTCACTGCCTGGCATCACTGAAAAGAAGCTGGTGACGGTGCGGTCATACTACGCTGCTCGCGCCGCCGTAGAGCGACCCATCAAACACCACGAGTCGGCGCTTTTCCGCGAAGCCTCAGACGAGAACGCCTTCATATACGCTGTTCTGGGCGGACAGGGAAACATCGAAGAGTACTTTGATGAGCTCCGCGAGATCTACAACACCTACCCCTCATTTGTAGAAGATTTCATTGCTGCAGAAGCACAGCATCTATTGCAGCTGTCGCGAGACCCGCGCGCTGAGAAACTCTACTCCAAGGGCCTTGATGTAATGCGATGGCTCAATAACCGAGACTCGCAACCCGACACCGACTACCTGGTATCTGCACCCGTCAGTTTGCCCTTGATTGGGTTGACACAGCTTGCGCATTACGTCGTGACCTGCAGAGTTCTCGGGAGCCACCCGGGCCATGTGCGAAGCCGTCTGCGCGGTGTTACTGGTCACTCGCAAGGTGTGGTCACAGCAGCCGCCATCGCTGAAGCGAAGAACTGGGAAACCTTCGAACGAGCTGCCAAGAAGGCTATCGAGATTCTCTTCTGGATTGGTACGCGAAGTCAACAAGCCTTCCCCAGGACATCACTCGCACCTACAGTGCTTCAAGATTCAATTGACAATGGCGAGGGCACACCGACACCTATGTTGTCGATCCGTGACCTCTCAAGAAAGGCGGTTCAGGACCACATTGACGCAACCAACGCTCATTTGCCCGAAGACCGCCACATTGCCATTTCCCTTGTCAACAGTGCGCGCAACTTTGTTGTGACGGGCCCGCCCATCTCCTTGTATGGTCTGAACCTTCGTCTGCGCAAAGACAAGGCTCCTACCGGCTTGGACCAGACCAGGATACCCTTTACAGAGCGCAAAGTACGCTTTGTCAACCGTTTCCTGCCCATCACAGCCCCATTCCACAGCCCGTACCTCGCAGATGCGACCAAGCAGCTTGAAGATGATCTCAAGGCCATCAAGATCTCCACCGCTGACCTTGGCATCCCTATGTACGATACTCACACTGGCCAAGACCTACGCGAGACCGATACGGACGACATTGTGCCAAGACTCGTCCGCATGATCACTGCTGACTCAGTAGAATGGGAAAAGGCCACGGTATTCCCCAAAGCAACCCATATCCTTGACTTCGGCCCTGGTGGCATCTCTGGTCTGGGCGTTCTGACAAACCGGAACAAGGACGGCACTGGTGTCCGTGTTATCCTTGCCGGTGCCATTGATGGCCAGAATGCCGAAGTCGGATACAAGCCGGAGATCTTCGACCGCGACTTCGACCATGCCGTCAAGTACGCTGTCGACTGGGTCAAGGAACACGGCCCCCGCCTTGTCAAGACTTCTACTGGTCAGACCTATGTCGACACCAAGATGAGTCGCACACTCGGCCTACCTCCAGTTATGGTCGCTGGTATGACACCATGTACAGTACCATGGGACTTTGTTGCAGCAACAATGAACGCAGGCTACGAAATTGAACTTGCTGGTGGTGGTTACTATAATGAGAAGACCATGACTGCCGCCATCTCCAAGGTTGAGAAGGCCATTCCTGCTGGCAGGGGTATCACAGTCAACTTGATCTACGTCAACCCGCGTGCTATGGGTTGGCAGATTCCGCTCCTAGCAAAGCTCAGGGCTGATGGAGTTCCCATTGAGGGTCTTACCATTGGTGCTGGTGTTCCATCTATTGAAGTCGCCAACGAGTACATTGAGACGCTCGGAATAAAGCACATTGCTTTCAAGCCAGGTTCGGTTGAGGCTATCCAACAGACTATCAACATCGCCAAGGCAAATCCCACTTTCCCTGTTCTTCTTCAGTGGACCGGTGGTCGCGGTGGTGGTCACCACTCATTTGAAGACTTCCATCAGCCCATTCTCCAGATGTACAGCCGTCTGCGCAAGTGCGACAACCTCATTCTTGTTGCTGGCTCCGGCTTCGGTGGCGCTGAAGACACCTACCCATATCTCACTGGATCCTGGTCAACCAAGTTCGGCTACCCACCCATGCCCTTCGATGGTTGCTTGTTTGGTAGCCGTGTCATGACTGCCAAGGAAGCACATACGTCCAAGATGGCTAAGCAGGCCATTGTTGATGCTCCGGGTCTTGAGGACAGTGAATGGGAAAAGACCTACAAGGGCCCTGCCGGTGGTGTCATCACTGTTCGCTCCGAAATGGGCGAACCCATCCACAAGCTTGCCACTCGCGGTGTCATCTTCTGGCACGAGATGGACCAGAAGATTTTCAGCCTTGACAAGGCCAAGCGCGTTCCCGAGCTGAAGAAGATGCGCGAATACATCATTGACAAGTTGAACAAGGATTTCCAAAAGGTTTGGTTCGGTAAGAACAAGAAGGGCATGTCTGTCGATCTTGAGGACATGACCTACGCCGAAGTTGTTCAACGCATGGTGGAATTGATGTACGTCAAGCACCAGTCTCGCTGGATAGACCCAAGCTTGAAGCGCCTGACCGGCGACTTTATCCGCCGATTGGAGGAACGCTTCAGCAAGACCAGTAACGAGTCTCTTATCCAGAACTATGAAGAGCTCAACGACCCCTTCCCAATGCTCGAGAAGGTCTTCAAGGCTTACCCTGAGGCCGATGACCAGCTCATCAATGCTCAGGATGTACAGCACTTCTTGCTGCTCTGCCAGCGCCGTGGTCAAAAGCCTGTTCCATTTGTTCCAGTTCTCGACGATACCTTTGAGTTCTTCTTCAAGAAGGATTCTCTTTGGCAATCCGAGGACCTTGATGCCGTCGTGGACCAGGACGTTGGCAGGACATGTATCCTGCAAGGCCCTATGGCTGTCAAATACTCTACAAAAGTTGACGAGCCGATCAAGGAGATTCTGGATGGTGTTCACGAGGGCCATATCAAGTACCTGCTCCGCGACATCTATGGCGACGATGAGTCAAAGGTCCCTGTCATCGAGTACTTTGGCAGCAATCTGCTCGCTCCTCCCCAGGGCCTGGAGGTTGATGGCCTCACTATCTCAGAGCTTGAGAACAAGGTCGTCTACCGTCTTGCCGCCGCTCCTAACGCCACCATGCCTGAAGTTCATTCATGGCTTCAACTTTTGGCTGGTACCAGCTATTCATGGAGGCATGCCTTCTTCACTGCAGATATCTTCGTACAGGGCCAGCGCTTCCAGACCAATCCGACTGCAAGGATATTCGCGCCAACTCGCGGCATGATGGTCGAGATTCAGAACCCCAAAGAGCCTGCCAAGACTAGCATTATCGTCAAGGAGCTGCATACCGGCGGTAAGCTGATCAAAACAGCTGATGTCAGCCTCACAAAGGACAAGGAGATTCTGCTCAACCTCTACGAAGAGCGCACTGCCCTCAAGCAGCCAGTGGCATTGCCTTTCCGCTTCAACTATCGTCCCGATGTGGGTTACGCACCCATTCACGAAGTCATGGAGGCCCGCAACGACCGGATCAAGGAATTCTACTACAAGATCTGGTTTGGTGATGAAGCCTGCCCATTTGATGCTTCTGTCACTTCACGCTTCGATGGTGGCCGTGCCACTGTGACAAGTGAGGCCATCAACGATTTTGTTCACGCAGTCGGTAACACAGGCGAGGCTTTCGTTGACAGACCAGGCAAGGAAGTTTTCGCGCCTATGGATTTCGCAATTGTCGTTGGCTGGAAGGCTATCACCAAGCCCATCTTCCCCCGCGCAATTGACGGTGACTTGCTCAAGCTAGTGCATCTTTCCAACGGTTTCCGCATGATCTCTGGTGCTGAGCCTCTCAAGAAGGGCGACGTACTTGATACGACTGCTCAGATCAACGCTGTCATCAACCAGGACTCGGGTAAAATGGTCGAAGTTTGCGGTACCATCACTCGCGATGGCAAACCGGTAATGGAGGTCACTAGCCAGTTCCTATACCGTGGAGCGTATGATGACTTCGAAAATACGTTCCAAAGGAAGGTTGAGAAGCCTATTCAGCTCCACCTGGCTACCAGCAAGGATGTCGCCATTTTGCGATCAAAGGAGTGGTTCAATTTCGAAGAGCCCGAGATTGATCTGCTTAACAAGACTTTGCTTTTCAAGTTGGAGACTGTTGTTAGATACAAGAACAAGACTGTCTTCTCAGACATCGAGACTCAAGGAGAAGTCCTGCTCGAGCTCCCTACCAAAGAGATTATCCAGATTGCTTCGGTCGATTACCGATCGGGTACCGCGTTTGGAAACCCTGTTATGGACTACTTGGAGCGTAACGGAGCTGTTGTCGACCAACCAGTGCTCTTTGAAAATGCTATTCCGCTGCACGGCAAAACACCTCTGAGCCTCAAGGCTCCCGCCTCCAACGAGAATTATGCTCGTGTCTCTGGCGACTACAACCCCATTCACGTTTCACGTGTTTTCGCCAGCTATGCCAACCTCCCCGGTACCATCACTCATGGCATGTACTCTAGTGCAGCTGTCCGAAGTTTGGTTGAGACATGGGCTGCGGAAAACAATGTTGGTCGTGTCAGGAGCTACCACGTCAACCTCGTTGGTATGGTCCTTCCTGACGACATGCTAGACGTCAAGCTCCAGCACGTTGGTATGGTTTCTGGCCGCAAGATCATCAAGATCGAGGTCAGCAACCAGGAAACTGAAGACAAGGTTCTGCTTGGTGAGGCTGAGGTTGAGCAACCCACAACGTCCTATGTCTTCACTGGTCAAGGTTCCCAGGAACAAGGCATGGGTATGGAGCTCTACAACAGCAGTCCTGTTGCTAAGGAGGTTTGGGATCGTGCCGACAAGCACTTCATGGACAACTATGGTAAGTTCAATACGCCAAGACACTTTCTGTGCTGTCTAATCTTGAATAGGTTTCGCTATCACAAACATTGTGAAGAACAATCCGAAGGAGTTGACCATCCACTTTGGTGGACCTGTCGGCAAGGCTATCCGCCAGAACTACATGTCCATGACATTCGAGACAGTCGCTGCTGACGGCACTATCAAGTCTGAGAAGATCTTTAAGGAGATTGACGAGAACACCACATCGTACACTTACCGTTCACCAGCTGGTCTACTCTCAGCTACTCAGTTCACACAGCCGGCTCTGACCCTCATGGAGAAGGCATCCTTTGAAGACATGCGTGCAAAGGGATTGATCCAAGTTGAAAGCACGTTCGCCGGACATTCGCTCGGTGAATACTCCGCTCTAGCAGCCATGGCTGAGGTCATGCCTATCGAGAGTTTGGTTTCGGTCGTGTTCTACCGTGGTCTTACGATGCAGGTCGCTGTCGAGCGTGACGAGACCGGTCGTTCCAACTACTCCATGTGCGCTGTTAACCCTAGCAGGATTTCCAAGACCTTCAACGAGCAGGCCCTTCAATACGTTGTTGAGAACATTGCTGAAACAACCGGATGGTTGCTGGAGATTGTCAACTACAACATTGCCAACATGCAGTACGTCGCTGCTGGTGATCTTCGTGCTCTTGATTGCCTCACTGGCGTAACAAACTACCTCAAGCAACAGAAGATTGACATCCAGGCACTTATGCAAACTCTCTCGCTTGAAGAGGTCAAGAACCACCTGGTCGAGATCATCAAGGGATGTGCTGAGCAGACAGAGGCCAAGCCTAAGCCTCTCGATCTGCAGCGTGGCTTTGCTACCATTCCACTCAAGGGTATTGACGTGCCCTTCCACTCGACTTTCTTGCGTTCTGGTGTCAAGCCGTTCCGATCCTTCCTGCTCAAGAAGATTCACAAGACGTCAATTGACCCGAGCAAGCTGGTGGGCAAGTACATTCCTAACGTGACTGCGAAGCCATTTGCGTTGACCAAAGAGTACTTTGAGGATGTGTACAAGCTTACCAATTCTCCCAAGATTGGCAACATTCTGGCCAATTGGGAGAAGTATGAGGAGAGTGGAAAAGAGGATGCCAAGACTGAGGCGGCTGCCTAAGTTTGGTGACGATTGTTGCATTTTGTATTGTCTCAGGGGGAGTCAGATGAGCAAGTAGACGAGGATAAAAAGAAGGCGTTTTGGGAAACAAGTGGGTGGATGTATATGATGTGGACTTTGGTTTTTGATATCCAGGATTTGGAGAGGCTTATGCTGTATGAACTTTTACATGTAGGACGAGCGTTGAGTAATGCATTCGTTATCATTTATGAGAACAAATCTTCTGTCATTTTTGCATGTGCGCGATGTGTCCAGAATTCGATTTACGTCCAGTCCAAAAAACAAAGGAAATCACGTGACGCAAACCAGAGCCAAGACCAAGACCAAGCTATGCTCCAAATACCACCTTCGCCATTTTGTTATGCTTTGAGCACTAAGGCCTTCTTTAATTCAATTCCCACCGCCAGGTTGTCAGTCCTATATGCCCTAGAACTTTTCCCCTTCCAAACTCAACACAGAAAGCTACAAAATAAGCATAGCCTGGAACCAACGAAGAAGATGGGAGACCAAACAGAAACGGGGGGGTACAGACGACCCGAAATAAAGATACAAAAGAAAAAGAAAAAGAGAGAAAGACTTGAAAAGACTACCTGAACAGATTCCTCTTTCGGGTAGTTCTACTACTGCCTTCCAGTAGGTGCGGAGATGATACTGGATCTGTCATGTTGTTTGATGTAGCAGAAGGTAGCTGAGGCATAGTATGTGCGTGGACGAGGGGCGGAGCCGCCTCGATATGTCGTTGGCCGGTATAGGGCGTATGTTGTGATTGGTAGGGCGGCAAATGTTGTGGTTGTTGCCAGCTTTGTTGGTACGGGTTGTGGTACCCTTGCTGTTGCTGCTGATGGTCCATGTACGAGTTTGAGGCTACGCGATGAGGGGTTTGCGGCATGTAGTCGCCTTGCGAATGTTGTGATTGTTGCTGCTGTTGCTGCTGCTGTTGTTGGGAACGGAGGAGGCCAAAGGCCCAGTTTGAGAGGTTGAAGCCACCGAAGATGATGATGGCTGTGAAGATCTGCGGGGAGTGCGAATTAGCTGTCTGAATCGAATCCGGAATTAAAGATCTTGTTTCTGGGACTTCAAGAGGTAAAAAGGATGGAACCAAGCATGCTCAGTTTCTGTGTACTGGTTATATGCAGGCTCGGTTGTCGGTTTCATCTTGTACCAAAAAAAACAGAAAGACTAGCACATACCATGGATTTGTAGCTGAACTCTTCGACAAAACTGTTGAAAATCATAGCAAATGTCTTTGCTGTCACACTTGCACGCGCAACCTTCTTGGGGTCACGGTTCATACAAGTTTCCCACACACCACAGGCCTTCTCCATGGCTGGTACTACCTCCTCGGGCCGGCAGCGATTACGGTTGTACTCGGTGGCACAAGCAGCGATCTCCACCATGACCTCTGAGGCATGCTTGGAAGACTCAATGTCCACGTCGGTCATGACGCCCGCCCACGCAGAATAGACAATGTATATGAAGAGACTGCCAAGGAACATGTTGACGGTGAGTTGAAGGTAGTAGGAGAGTACAGAAGGAAGGTTCGGATGAGCTTCAACCCACGACAAGAATCCACCAAGACTCATAGCAAAGGTTTGTTGGACAGGCCCCGCCTCTTTTGGGGCATTGGACGAGCGGGCTCGATCGTTGTCTGAGTCGTCAGCATCGTCATCACGAAGGGCGACTCGCTTCTTAGACCGCGATCGCTCGGAGCGGCGCTTGACGATGCGGCTCTCTGCCTTTTTGGAGTAGGGCTTTTGGGGCTGGAGTTGGAGTTGGTCCTTATCTCGCTCTCGCTCCTTGTCGCGATCCTTGGTCGGGCTGGGTGTCGACATGAAGGTCCGCTTGAACCAGCTGTCGCGGCGGCCACCCTTCCTGTCGGCATCGCCATTAGCCAGTCGTCCCATCTTGTTGGCCAATTGTGTGTCTGGTGTGCCGATGTCGCTGTCTATCATTGGGGTGCCGGGGGTCTCGCCGCCTGAACTAAAGTCAATGTCGTGTGACGGGGTGCGCATCGACCAAGGGCTGGGCTGGATGTGTGCGGGCAGCGAAGAGGCTGGTGTGGAGGGCAAGGGCTTGTTCGGATCGCGGCTGAAGTATGTCATGCGGTTGTCGGGGTCGCGTAAACGAGTTGGCGTCGCAAAGCCGCCTTTGGAGGGGGAGTCGACGACGGAGTGGGGGCCTGCGTGGCCCAACCAGGGCCTTGGGGTTAGCCGTCGTGTTCCATCTCGCATGCCATGTGCGGAAATCAAGCCAACCGGTCGGAGAGTGCTTACGCTTCTTTTGCTGGCTGGCGGTGAGGAAGGGCGATTGTGCGTCAATGGGTCCTGTCTGGTTTGTCCATTCAAAGTCCATGGGCGTAGTCGAAGGACGGTGGCTTCGCGACATGGTGTCTGCCGGCGACTGGGCCGTAGCAAAGGCCAGGCAAGAAAAGGTTCGGGGGTGGGTTGTGTCGGAGCAGCGGGCGTTTGGCTGTTGTTGATCAACACCTGGGTTCCTGGGTGGCCACCTGCGGACTTCCGGCACTAGTCTCCATTGGGACAATGGCGGTTGCGCTGGTGCAGCATGGGGAACATGCCACGAGCACTCTACGTTGGCACCACAAGCTGATCGTGATCGTGTCTGCACTGAAATCATGTGACTAGGTACTTCGCTCTGCCAATGTACAAGTCATGTGTCCATTTCATTTCAAATCTACAGTGGCCATTGCTTCCCAGCCATACCTATACCCCGCTCTACATCTCTCTCTGGAGTAGTAGGTAGGTGTAGTCTATTCCAAACCTCAAATAGCAAATATGATTACCCAAGTATCCCACAAACAACTTGAACGCAGTCCGTCCTAGAGAATATTCATACAAACTACTTTGAGCCGAAAACGTGTTCTAGAAGAAAGAAGAAAAGAATGCCTCCGAATTTTTTAAGTCTCATAACAGCCATGACTGGCCACAGGCTTCCTCTATGCTGGTGTGAGACCAACCTTGACGCCATTCAGCGAGCAAAGGGTCAGTGTTAGACCTTCTTGCCATGGCCCAGGGTCTCTGCTCTCAATGGCTTTGAATTCTTGTACAAGGCGGACGGTGACGTAGCTAGCTTCAATAAGCGCATACTGCTGGCCGAGACAGATACGTGGGCCACCGTTGAACGGGAGGTACTCCCACCCAGGACGCAGTGTCTCCCAGCGCTCCGGCTTGAACTCGTCAGCGTCCGGTCCATAGATGTCCTGACGGCGGTGCATTGTGTATGGTGAGTAGCCAACTGTTGTGCCCTTGAGAACAAAGAGTGGCGATCGGCCGTCGGGACCACCACCTAGGGGCAGTACAGTGTCGCGGGTGGCGTAGCGTGAGTTTCCAGGTACAACGGGGTGGATGCGAAGTGCTACATAATGCGTTTAGTATAGGCACACTATGGGTTCATCAGCCAAAACTTACATTCGTTCAGACACCACTTGACGTATTTGAGGTTCTTCAGTTCTGAGTATGTCGGTGTGCGTCCTTCAAGTGTGGCGACCTCCTCCCTAAGCTTTGCATAGATTTCCGGGTTCTTGGAAATAGCGAAGAACATGTTGCTCAGCAAACTCGCAGTCGTGTCTCGGCCAGCAAGCAGGATGTTGATGAGCTCCTCGCGTATCCTCTTCTTGTCCGTTGTCTGCTTTGCCACCTCCTGGATGAAGTAATACTTGTCACCACCAGCAGCCTTTTCAGCATCCAAGTTCTGTCGGAACTGCAGAGCATCGTCGACAAATTTCTCAATGTATGTGTGGCAGATTTCGATGGCCCTCTTGCCTTCAACGTTTCTCCTGAAGCGATCAAGGGGGCCATAGCGAGCGCGGACGGTAACATCTTCTTGTGCAAAGTTGAACGCCTTGCCGAAGATAGTGTCTTCATTCTCAGCGTCTTCCTGACCAAGCATGCGAAGTGAATCGGTCGAGTGGTTGAACAAGAATTCGGTTGCGGTGTCAAGCGTCAGGTGGAAGAAGAGATCTTGCAAGTCAACTGTCGAGCCATCCTTGGGAATGTGCTTGAGCATAAGGTTGAAGTGGCGTTCGAAAGCATCAATATCGGCAACCTGATCGCGTGCAAAGTTGGGGCGTAGGAGATGACGGCTGTTAGCCCAGCGGTCGCCATCTGCGTTGAAGATACCATGACCCAAAAGAGGACCAAAAGCAGGCTGTCGGTGGGCAAAGCTGTAGTCCTTGAACCTCAAACTCAAGACGGCTTTGATGTTTTCGGGCTCGCAGGTCATGATATAAGGCTGGTTGACGATTCGGTTGTGGTAAGTGTTGCCGAGCCTCTCGTAGCGCTTCTTGGTTTCTTGCAGGGTGATGTGTTCTTTGCTATATTTGGCCATGGCCTTCATGACATCCAGTCCCAGAATGGGGTCTTTGTGAAACTGGGCTTTGCATGGCTGGCAGTTGTGCTCCTTCTTGAAGCGGCGGCGTGCGAGGTAGAGTGCGATGCGAGTATACAGAAAGTAGGAAACGGCAGCACCCGCAAGGATGACGATGAGGGGTGATTGCGCCATTGTGTCTGAAGGATTGGGGCTTTGTTGAGCGAGGGGGAAGTCAATAGGTCGTGGAGATCGGCCGGCCTTTTAATCAATGGCACAGAGATACGATTGGATAGTGGGGTAGCAAAGGTTCACTTCAATGTCGGCTTCTCCGGTCCAGGTCTTTTTCCATATGTCGACAGGAATGGGCAAGATGAATCTCCTCCGTGGTAACGAAAGTGCGGTCGTGCGAGTTTCTCGGCCGAGGGGTAGTCGAATGGGTTATCGTTGTGGAATACCAGGCTTCTCCACAGCCAGTAAGGCTCGCAAGGCTCACTCTTTTTGGAACCTGGATGGACGTGCAGCGGGAAGAGAGGGTGCCAAGAGGGGGGTAGATGTGCTTCTTATAGACTCGGAAGCGGTCAGTCAGCGTTACATTTTGGACAATACCGGAGACGGCGACGGGACCGTGAGCCATTCTAGCAGTGAGCTCCGAGACAGGAAACATCGGCATAGGCGGACTGCGTAGGTGTACGCGGTGTAGGCTCGGTGATGCCGATGTGGCTGCAATGCTCCGATGAGCGCTAGGGGCAAAGTCGGTATCTGATTGGTCGCTCCATCACCCGGCATAGTGGGAGCGTCGCATTTGGGGCAACCACCGTACCGCCGCCTGTATCCACCCACATTCGGAAAAGGCGGCACTTTTTAAGCATCCGCGCCGAAATTCTTGTTTTGTGGAGCATCCGTGTAGTGTGTGTGTGCAAAAATGCTTGTGTGTTTATCTACTTTGTAATCTGTGTCCCTTCATACGTATACACATATACGTTGGTTGGCTTGACACCAAACACAGTGCCATAAAACTAACCATCTCCAAGGTCAAAGAATTCAGCATCCAATCAATCTGCACGCGCTGTCGTCATGCATTTCCCAACGCTGATTGATGCCTTGAACCTCCGTAAAAAAAAGCACGTCGACAGGGGACCCCATCCACGTCGTCAGCTTGTGCGGGTCCTGTGTGTAAATCCTCCTGTACTACACACTCTGGCACCCTACGTCTTGTTCACATGCACCCCGCACTATGAAGAAATCATTACATACCGAGGAACCCCTGTGCCTCGCCTTAACCCGACGAGATCCACTTCATGTGATTGATCGTCTCCCTCTCCAGGTACTCGTACACCTGCCCATAGTCTTTGCACACGTGTTTGGCGTCCCATCCGTCACTCCCTCCTAAGTCCTGCCCATGCTCGTCGCCTGGAAAGCTCGTCGCCGCTCCCTCGAGCGCTACATCTCCCGCACACATGATCGCCTGTCTAATATACTCAAAACAGTGGTTGATGTGCCATGGCTTTTTGATAGGGTCTGCCGATGCCGGTGAGGCAACGGTAAGCTTCATGGTGTTATACGCTTCAAGTATCGTGTACAGGCAGTGTAACTGATGCGTAACCGACGTAGTGAATACTGTCCGATTGGGGTAATCATGGACTGGATGCGGTAGGTTGGAGTATTCCGACGCATTCTTTACTTCGACATAGCCAAGGCCCTCTTTGACTCGGTCAGCAATGTTCGTGTCCGAAAATGAATAGCTTCACCCCGTACCTGGAACGATGCTCAGCCATGCATGCTGCGTCTCCTTGCTCCAAAAGTCCGTCGGCTCCTCCGGAGCAAACACAGTATTGGGCTTGAAACTAACAATCTGCTGGCCAAATGTTGGCGCAAACCCAGTAATGTCACCAGCAAGCTCGTAGAGATGGCCCCTCTCGTATTTTTGCCACCGCTTCTCAGCCAGGAGTCCTACAACGACCAACAAAAGTGTAGTGTCGACCATCCACCGGTACCTCCTCACCCACCTCCACACCGTTTTCCTTCTCCGCCGAGGCTGAGTGGCATTTTCTGTGTCCCACTCATCACCGACCTCTGTGCTCGAATCGGAGCCATCAACGACATTGTGCAGCGCGTCATATGGCTGATGACGCTTCGAAGTATCATTTGTTGCAAACTCCATGGTGGACGCGCCGCGGCTTGGTTTGTAAGGTGCAATTGCTGACATTGTGAATAGCTAGCTTTTTGTGGACGTGTACCATCTTAGTATATAAAAGCGAGGCGGCGCTTGTGCGGCATCATCTACATGGCTGGAAATGATCAAACGCGTTTTGCGACACTAATCGTTGGATGCTACACATTGAGCCTCGGGCGTCTTGGTGTCCGGTGATACTTTTCTTAGTATTATTAGCAGCAATCAGGTATCTTAACAGAGGCATAGTATGTGTGGCGTGCATGCAAGAGCGCTCCAATGCCGGCAGCATCAGCGCGTGAAATAGCGCGAGGGTGGTGGTAGTCACATACAGGGACAACTCGCCATAACGCGCTGCAAGTATCATATTCCTGATTCGACAAAGCACACATTTTCCCAATCTCAGTACATCGCTTAGCTTGGAAAGGAAAATTAGGTGGTAACGGTCTTGCCAGAGTAAGAGTAGCCTGACTAGCGAACGGTAGGCAGAGGAGGGCACTGTCCAAAGTAGGAAGTAGGCACAGGCCCAAGAGGCAATAACATCGTCATCGGCCTTGGCACATGCTGACGCGCCCATTCGTCCCTAGTTACACAACCTCAAACCCGGCTGATACCAAATCACAAGACCGCATCCATCCCGCGCACCATCAGCATATCAATTTCACTTACTCAACAATTCGCAAGTGTCGCTGATCGGTACTATAGTTTGGTGAGCGGAGAATGGATGCCAGCTTGCCGTTCTTCAGTGCCTGTGCGGCGTGCGCTTTGACTGCAAGCAGCGACTGTTTGGTCGTATCATTGCTCGTGACGAGATCCAAAGCCTCGATTGACGACTCCTTGGGCTGAGAATACCCACTTTCTACCGATTCAGCCTGATTGCGGATGTGTTTCCGCTTTTTAGCTATCTCATAAGAATCTTGTCGCTCAAACGGCTTAGGTGAGACATTTCCTGAACGGGTAAGGCGGGCATGGGCTACAGTAACAGAGTCGCCATGGCCATGGAAGCGCGTGTCTGTTTCTTCGAGGCTTGAGAGATGGCGAGTCTTCGTGGAGTGCTTGTTCCATCTTCCCTTGCGCTGAATTTCAGGGCTCCGTACAAGTAATGAGTGCTCTGAGGATTGTAACAAATTCTGACCAACATACAGAAGTGTTTCGTCCATGACATCTCCTCTTGGAACATCTCCGCTGGAAACAACCCCATTCAGGGGCACGCTTGCAGGACGAGACGGATGGCAGGAAGAAGTGGTGCTGGTAACCTGGCTATTCGGAGGCGCGAGTAGCGGCAAATCTTCTCTATCCTCTGCAGCGCAATCGAAGCCCGTGGTTCGGCCATCGTCGTCTGGAAAGACTACAATCGTGGGCTTGAAGCTGTCTGATGCACTATTCCAGCTTCCAAACCAGCCTGCAAGCTTGGAGTTGACCCTCTCAAGACCCCGCCTGGCAGATGGACTGACCATTTCCAAAGAGTGGCTTGCAGAAGAGCTTCGCCGCCCTCTCCCTCTTACTTTCCGCTCCAGCGGCACATCATCCCATATGACTTCATAGCTACTGGTCTTCGTTTCTATGACTTGCATCGTCGGTGTGGCTGGATCGGGTCCTTCCTCGTTGGTAATGTCGTGTGCGTCCCATGCGGGCGTGATGGCGACAACGTGTACATCTGTTCGTGTGATTGCCGGGTCTGCCACACTGCTCTTCGTTGCGTGAATTGTATTCGGGCACGATAGAGAATTACTGGCAGCTCTTCTTCGCTTACAAGTCGGTCTGGGAAGCGTTTTGACATCGTGCTTTGAAGCCTGGTCTAGGCTCTTCAGTATACTAACTGTGCTCGAGACCTGGGAAGAGGGTTTGGAGCCACCTCCTTCAAAATCGACAGTTTTGATGCGACAAAGGGCCTTGGCTTCATGGTTCCCTGTGTTCCGTCGTAATCCATCGAGCGACGTGAAAGTATCGCTCTTCGCTCTCTTCTTGATACAAGACCTCAAGGGCAAGTGCCGATCGCGTGACCTTGGGTTCATGTATGACTTGGCTAGGTCTGGATCCGAATTGGAGCGTACCGCGGTTGGTCTAGTTAGAATTGGCCTCATTGTCGTCAACATTCCATCTGTCGCCGGTTTACGGCAAGGCTGGCTAGGTCTCGGAGGATGTTTGGGAACAGGCTCTACCCGCTCAGGGAGAAGGCTTTGAGAGCTCATAGATGGTTTCGTAGCCTCTTCCGTAACCGCCCCAAGTTCTTTACGTGAGCTGCTGAATGGCCACTGTATGGCAGGAGAAGATGACTTCAGTGAAGTAGGTGACAGAGATAAGGCTACATGTGCTGGGCAGTACATGTCATCTTTTGATCGGAATGCGTTCAGCGCTGTTACTTCCGTCTTTTGTTCTCTCCGTATACCGCTTGAAATGGTCAGGTCGCTAGTAGACCTCTTCCGTGAACCCCCAGGGATGGTTTCTAGGCTTGGGTTGCTGGCATCTCCCTTCGTATAGCCTTCGCCCTTCTCGATGGCGCTAGTGAGAGGACAGGAAAATCCTGAAGAAAATTCTCCGTCTCTGTTCGAGTTTTGTGATGGTGTTTCTGAAGGAGTGGGCTGATCAGGTACAAGATATGAGATAAGTGTGGAGATTAGGTTGTCGCTAGAAGTTCTAAGCATGGCTTCCATAATCGCCGAAACAGCTGCAAAGGCAAGCCCCTATGCACAAGGGTAGAGACTTGATCGTCCAATGTTAGGAATAGCTGTTCAAATAGGAACTAAGAATCTCCGTGATGTCGATGAGGGCTGAGGGCGAGGGTGGAGTCGAAGTGACATGCATGATTGTTCACTTTACTGCACAACAAGAGAAGGTCATGGCCAGGGAAAGTGTATGCTGAGAAACGGAAAGAGTGCACCATGGTCACATCATGTCTATTTCCTTCAGTGCTCAACTATTTGGTTTAGAGAAGCCGCGCCTTGGGCAATATACAAACGTTACGTGTAGTGAGTTGATGACTTCACGTGAGGTAGGCCAGCATTGCAGTACGCGAAGGTAGCTGTAATAATCAAACGTTTTTGATTGGCGTAATCCAGATACAGACAGTAAAAATTTGTGGGATGCATGTAACTGAGTAACGTACATGTGTGTGTACACAGATCTATCTGCTTGCGCCACCACCCAATGGGGGAGGTCGTGTTCCTCGGCAAACTCTCCGTCAGCCATTCACAGCCCTCCTATAGACAACGTGTGCTTCCATCCCCCACGTCTGCACGTCACTTTTAACGCAGCCACAAGGGGATTCCCTTGCTAGGGTGCACGCTCAAACGCTCCTCAATGGTATTCCAGCAAAAGGATTCGTCCCCGCATCCCACAATCTTAACGTTATGCGCCTCGCCCCATGGCTAAGCTGAGCCGCTATGTAGCCATTCCGGCATGAGAACTATTGCCTCGCAATCTACGGCCAAACAAACAGCGCACGTGTGGTGCGGATGAGGAATATGTATCTAGGATTTAATCCTTTACCCGACTGGCCGTTCATGCCCATCCCGCGCTCCATCTCATCTTGCAGATATTAATATAGCCATATGATAGCCCCTCGAGCTCCCCTGTTCAGGCACGCGACAGTAGGCTAACCATCGAAATGCTTTTCACCACTTTCTTCAGTCTTCTGGCTTTTCCGGTAGGCCGGGTCATCGCCGGCGCAGTCATTCCCCGCGACCAAGGTTCTACAGCCCAAACTACTCCCGATGTCACTACGTGCAATGGCAAGCTATACACGTATGAAAAGCTCGCAGGCTTTGGATCAGTAGCGAGTGATGCTCGCGACAAATTTGGCGACACAATCGGTGGCATTGGAAGCGCCATCGCCTTCGAGAAGAAGTCATGGAAATACAAGAACGGGATCTATGAGGGCGTGGTCTGGGGCTTGCCTGATCGTGGCTGGAATACCCAAGGAACACAGAATACTCAGACTAGACTCCACAAGTTCAGTGTCAAGTTTACGCCAGTCGAAGCTACACTAGCAAAGCCAGCAAGCCCAAACCTTCAGATCTCCTATTTGGACACTCTGCTTCTTGCTGGTCCTGATGGTACACCACTGACTGGCCTCGACCCTACCGATACCATCACATATCCAGGGTTCCCTGATCTTCCCTTGGCAAAATGTAAGTTGTGAACACAAGCTCCTGGGAGTGTTTACTGACGAACGCAGATACTGGTAACGGCTTTGGTCAAGCCGGTCCTGGCGGTGCTCGCATCTCTCTCGATACCGAAGGCTTAGTACTTGGGGATGACGCAACATTCTGGATCAGCGATGAGTATGCTGCCTATCTATACCAATTCGATAATCAAGGGAAGATGATCAAGGCAGTTCGTCCCCCAGTTGCTTTTGTTCCCCAGCGCAACGGCACCGACAGCTTCAGCGCTGATTCCCCACCTATCTACGACCCCGACTTTCAGATTGTACCTGGGGACCCTACAAGCGGTCGAGGCAACAATCAAGGTTTGGAGGCACTCACTGCCAGCCCAGACGGCAAGTATCTATACACGATGCTTCAAAGCGCCACCATCCAAGATGGTGGTAGCTCTGCAAAGAAGCGTCGCAACACACGCCTTCTCAAGTACCGCATCAAGGACGAAAAGACAACTTTGGAGGCCGAATACGTCGTTCAGCTACCACTCGTCTCTACAGGACGTGTTGCTAGTCAGTCAGAGATGCATTACATTTCGGAAACACAATTCCTTGTTCTCGCACGCGACTCGAATGCTGGTCGAGGTGCTGAGAGCACAGAATCTCTCTATCGCAATGCTGATGTGATTGACATCTCAAATGCTACGAACGTTTTGGGAACAGCCGCCGATGCATTAGGTGGACAAGTTGCCAGCAAGGATGGTGAGCTGAAGAGCAATATTGTACCTGTTACTTACTGCCCATGGCTTTCCTACAACAACAATGACGAGCTGGAGAAGTTTGGTCTGCACAACGGTGGCGAGCAAGATTCAAAGTTGCTCAACGAGAAGTGGGAAAGCTTCGCCTTGCTACCAGTCGACAAGAAAGACGAGATTGGTAGGAGTGATAGGACAAGCGAGGATGAGGGGAAGCAGTACTACCTCGTGTCTTTCGCAGACAACGACTTTATCACGCAGAATGGTAAGCTGGGCTGCTGGTATTTGGTGACATTCAACTAATACTGTTCAGGTTATATCAATTTCGGGCAGAATCAGTACGCGGATGCAAGTGGGTATAGCATTGACACTCAGGTTCTTGTTTTCAATGTCAAACTGCCCAAGGGAGCAAACCCATTGTAGATACGTGATGGAATTAGGCACAGAGTTCGAGAGGAAAAAGTGTGTAATATGTAGAATGTATGTATGTGAATATGTACTATACACATAGGAGGCTAGCGGAGGGCCAGCGCACAGACGGCATGTGATTGGCCCTGAAGCTGGACCCTGGACCTTATGTTGATGTGGCATCTCAACCAAGTTGGAGTTTCAAACTCCAATTCCTCCCACCAAGTTGAAAACATGGGGAGAAAGCACGTGTCATCCCTTGCCCTGATACTTCCCCTCCTCGCCAGCACTGTAGATGCGGCATCAGACCCCGCCCGGCCGCGGGGTGTGAGTCCGGAGTGTATGTTGCACCTAATGAAGCTCATGGACAGCTGCAATGGACGGAGCTCTGCATGCTGACGGCCAATGTCTAGTTGCAAAGTACTACAAGGACGCCGAGACATTTACTTGTATCTCGAATCCTACCATCAAGCTCCCCATTGCCCGTCTGAACGATGACTACTGCGACTGCCCTGATGGCTCTGATGAGCCTGGCACCGCGGCCTGCTCCTATCTCTCGCCCCTCTCTCCACCTCAGCCGCTGAGCGTCGAGGGCAAAGACGTCAACACAACGCCTGTCCTTCCAGGCTTCTACTGCAAGAACAAGGGCCATCAGCCCAGCTACATTCCCTTTACAAGCGTCAATGACGGTGCCTGCGATTATGAGTTTTGTTGCGACGGGAGCGATGAGTACGAACACGTCGGCGGAATCAAGTGCGAAGACCGCTGTGCGGCCATTGGCAAAGAGTGGAGGAAGGCGGACGAGGCGAGACAGATGAGCCTCGCTGCTGCCAAACAGCGGCGGAAGGAGCTGGTGTTTGAGGCGGGACGCCTGCGCAAGGAGGTCGAGGACCGCATCCAGACACTCAAGGCTCAAATTGAAGGCGCGACGCTAAAGGTTGACGGGCTGACAAAGAGTCTGGCTGAGATTGAGAGAGCAGAGCGTGGTAAGGTGGTCAAGGGCGCTGGCAAGGGCGGCAAGGTCACTGTATTGGCTAGTCTGGCAAAACAGCGCATCCAGGAGCTTACTGATAACATCAACCGCCTACGCAATGAGAGGGACTCTGCACGAGCAAGGGTCGCTGATCTTGAGGGTATGCTGACCCGCTTCAAGGAGGAGTACAATCCCAACTTCAACGACGAGGGTGTGAAGCGTGCAGTCCAGGCGTGGGAGAACTATGCTGCACAAGATCGCCCAGGACCCAATGACGCTCTGGACCGAGACCTCGATGACATTCTCAAGCCAGACTCTGAGAATGCTATCAATTGGGACGACTTTGAGAAAGTAGACGAGTCTGACGTTGAGCTCCGTGAGTACTAATCAAGCCACAACCCTCAAGTTCATAGGCTAACCGTTATCCAGTTTACCAATTCGAAGAATACCTGCCCGAATCTATCCGTAGCTGGGTCGACAGCAAGCTCCGCGACCTGCGTATCATGCTCATCGAGAATGGAATTCTTGCCGACCCCACTTCTGCCGATGCTCCTGAATCCAAGGCAGTCAACGATGCAAAGTCGCAACTTGAAGCAGCAAGGAGGGAGCTTGAGAATGACAAGTCTGAATTAACCAGACATGAAGAAGATCTCACCAAGGACTATGGCCCAGACGCCATTTTCCGCGCATTGAAAGACGTCTGCATATCCACCGACTCTGGTGAATACACGTACGAGCACTGCTTCCTCTCGAGAACGACGCAGAAGCCCAAAAAAGGCGGCGGTCACACGGGTATGGGCAATTTTGTTCGCATCGAGTCCATGACTGTTGATGAGGAGCTACCTGCGGATGGCAAAGGTCTGGGCAGTGGCGAGCGCATTGCTCTCAAATACGAGAATGGACAGCACTGCTGGAATGGCCCCAACAGAAGCACACTTGTCATCTTGGCTTGCGCGGAGAAGGACGAGATCTGGAAGATTGTTGAAGAGGAGAAATGTGTGTACAGGATGGAAGTGGGCACACCAGCGGTGTGTGGTGTTGAGGTTCATAAGACTGCGCCAGAACACAACGAGTTGTAAGAGAGTAGAGAGAAATCATGATGACGGCGTACTCTGGGCGTACTGCGGTTGACTCGCGTTGCTTGGATGGTAGAAGATTAGATATCAAGACACGACTCCAATGTTAAAAGCAATTTTTACTCGGTTTGTGGTCTCTGCAGCTTTGCTGTCTGTGGGTGTGGTTCCCTTACATTTCCAAGCGTTGCTACACTCTGATTTCTTGAGAGACTTGTAGTCTTCCACATGAATACCGGTTGATCGGTGAAACTGGAAATCCCAGATCAAGCGGGCTAGCCTACAAAAACGAGGTATCTCATTACCGAATGCCAGCATTACTGAATGATAGCTGCGATAAGAAATAGATTAAACACACACGATATATCTGTGTTAATTATACCTAGGTAGTTGTTAGTCAGTAGTGTTCCAGTGGAAATATAGGTTTTAAGTGGGCTCTATACCGTCGAATTCGGTGATATTATATCCGACTTCATTCTAATAAGACAAAGGAATTGGAAATGTTGAGTTAAATGGTAACATGGTTCACGAGCGAGTGGCCAGGTAGCTAGCTTTTCATAGCATCTGTTATGATTAGTAGAAGGCAGTACTCACTGTCTGATCAATTAGGAAAATGGAATAAGGCTGTGGCACATCATGTCTATAGGAACCTGAAGTATGCAACCAGTCAAACCGAAAAAACCAAACAACCAGGTATAGTCCACCAAAACTTATCATTAACAACACGAACATTACTACGGTTACATAAGAGTCGGCGTACCATGCTCCCCTTTACAAGAAGGTGTTATCGATAAGAATTTTTGTCCCTCCATCCCGCAACCCCACCAACTTTTTTTCTGCAGTCACTACACAGTGAACAATACATTCTAGGACACCACACGTGTTGAACCTTTAAGCTTTTTTTATACCCAGTCGCTTTGAGTACTACTTTCTCTCAATTGTTAAAAAGAAAAGAAAAATAAACAAAGCGCACATCATGTCGAAAGCAAAAGATCTCTCTACACTCATCGAAGTCACCAAAAACACCCAAACGCTCCTCACACACTACCAATCGTCGCTTACACCCAGCAAAACCAACACCGCTACCACTGCAATCGCATCCGCGTCCGCGCCCGACCCGTCGACAGAAATAGCGAATCCGCTCGAACTGCTCCGCACCAGCAGCACGCTGCTCAAATCGCACACGACGACCCTCTCGCTGCTTCTCATCAACCCGCCTCTAACGGCGTCTGCGATAGTCACCAAAATCGGCAATGTGAGCGAAGGTCCGCTAACCGGTGTCGTGGCCGCGGCGAGTTACGTGCCTGGCGCGGGACAACGGGGCGACGTGGGCGAAATCATGCGTGCGGAGATGCGAGCGCAGGTCAAGGGGTTACTGGCGAGCTGGAGCGAGGTGCTGAGTATTGTGCTTAGTATTGCGCAGAAGCAAGGGGCAAAGAAAGGAGGAGGTGTGACGGAGGCGGAGAAACAACAAGTGCTTTCTGCCACGGGCGTGGTGTGGGATGCGTGTGATGGGGTGGAAAAACTGTGCAAAGACGGGGTGGTGGGGCTTGTGGTGAGGAAGGCACAGGAGTTGAGGGCTGTGCTGCTTGATGCGATTGAGGAGTTGAAGGAGTGGGGGGAAGATGTTGCTGACGATGACGATGATGACGAGGCGGAGAATAGCGACCAAGATGATGTTTTCGCTACGGAAAATAAGTTGGGCAAGGATGACAAAGAGCTGAAGGCTCTGCTGGATAAGAGTCTCAAGAAGCTGAAGATGATGGGGATATTGTACCAGGCGCTTGTTAAGAGGAGGCTGAAGACGTATCCTGCGTCGTCGATTCTTGAGCCTAGCAATACCACTGCGACGAATACAAAGAGGAAGGCAATAACAGAAAAGGGAGAAGGACAAGCAGAAGAAGAAGAAGAAGAAGAAGGGGGAGAAGCGATACAGAGTCCGAGTGTCAAACTCAACGAACTCATGCGTCTGCTCAAAGGCATTCCAGAGACGGTTGATGACATTGCTGCTGCGTTTTACGATCTCGACGCGGATGAGGCACGAGAGACGCTAGACCGATGCTGCGGCGAGGCCAAGACAGCAGTTGAACTTGTGCGCAGGAGTTGGAGTGGACAGGACGATGAGTTCACAGCCTGGTCTGAGAAATGGGTTGCAGCTCTTGACGATGCTGCTGCTGCTGCTGCATGAAAGCGGAGCATGTATACACACTAATAGTAGTAGTACATGTGACAACAAGGCGTACCATGCCATTACCCAACAACGTCGAAGAATTTCTTCTTCTTCTTCAGCAACGACTAATTTGATTAGAAATTACATTTTGAACAATTCAAAAAAGTCAAAGCATAAAAATTAAGTGGTTGTCAGAATTCCTATCTGAAATATATTTGCTTTCGTATCTTCAAGGCGAACAAAGAACTTTCCCCCCGATTCTCCTGATGCTACATGAAAGCGCGAAAGAAGTGAAAGGTATATCCATCGATTTGCGTCCAAATAACCGTCTGAACCATGAAGATCCCCTTTGGCAAAGTAAAAACACACACAAATGCTTACCACACACACCAAGGGTGAGAGAGACAAAAAGGGCATTTACAAGCCAAAGGCAGCAGCGGCGAGACCAAGGGCGACAGCACCAATGGCAGCGGTGTTGCCGGAAGCAGCGCCAGTGGATTGGGCAGGGGAGCCCGACGAGGTGCCAGAGACAGTGGGCCTGGCGCCAGAGGGAGTAGGAGAGGAAGCGGCGTTAGACTGCGGGCTACCAGAGGGAGTGGCGGCAGCGCTGCCAGTGGCGGAGCCAACGGTAGTGGGGATGTCGCTGATAGAGACACCAGCGGAGGCACAGAGGCCAGAGACGGCAGGGATGATCTCTGTGGCGTAATGTTAGCCTCTGACTTTACTTTTCTTTTTGGTTTGTTTCAAAGGATGTGATAAGAGAAGGTAATTAAAGAGAAGGGATGCCACTTACTAAGAGCGTCCTCTTGGGAGCACTTGGTGGGAACGCAGGCCATGAGGGACTCCTGCAGGGGCTGACGGCCGGTGGTGCACTGGCACGCGATGTCGGTGGCACCGCACTTGGAGGCGGGGAGAGCAGCGACGAAGCAAGGGATCTAGGGGATGGATGGTCAGTGACATGTGTCATGGTGGGATGATAGCGTCCACTAACTCGACGCGATACCAATGGTGCCGCGAGAGGTGGAGCTGAAACAAGATAAGACAGGCAGAGGAGGAACATACAGCGCATTGAGGGACAGCGGAGAGGTCCTGGGCGCTGGCGAAAGCGAAGGTGGCCGCAACGGCGAGAACGGTAGCTTGGAAACGCATGTTTGCTGTGGTGTTTTGGTGGGTGGTTATTGATGTAGTGGTGTTTGTGGTTGAAAGTGTCGGTGTTGTTATTAAAGATTGACTGGAACGTAGGAGATGGGTATTTTGCGCAAAACGTAGGATGGAATCGAAAGCCACTGAAGGAATTGAGGAAGGGAAGAGAGGGTCCTTTATTAAGATAAATAGTGGGCGGCAGGCTAGACTAAGACAGGGAATTGAAGGGGGGGCAGGTAAGGTTTAGGTAAAGGGCCGGCACCTCCACGATCGCATTCGACCAAGCACGTCGTATCCACAGCAATAGTGGCTCGGTGGGATCAAATGCTAGCAGCTAACCCGCAGGTGATCGACACCAGGGGTAATGGCTGTTTGACTTTAAGGCACAGCTGACTATTTTTTTCGGCGACGCGCCTAGATTTGCTCCAAGGTTCATGCCTCGAGTTTACAAATGAGATGTGAGTTGCTCACCACTGCAGTTTGCAGAGACGTTGTATTCATGACGGCCTGGACAGGTTGTAGCTGTAAGTAAGCCTCGCCGAAGAGAGAAGGGTTCTTTCATTACACCGAATTGCCTGTTGCAGACCCAGGAAACATAAGCACTTGGCTGGGGGAACCTTGGGGGGGCAAAAAGCTCAGGGCAGGACTAAGGTTTGGTTCGGCGGGCACAAGTGGTTAGCGGCGTCTCTGGGCGGAGCTGGCTCCTCCGCTGACGATAGTGCGATTGCTCGATGTTGGTCGTCTTTCTTTGCCCTAGTCTACGGATCATGTCAATTTGCAGTAGCAAGGAGGAATACTATTCACTATACGAGTGGAGCGCAAGTGTATCAGCCATGCGTCGGAAGCCTATTGTAGTTGCTTGGCCCAGAGGGGTTGGATAAAAAGCAAGTCAAGACCGTTGGGAGGACGGGTGCGGGAAGACCCCTCGCTGCTTACTTTTTGCCATCAATTGATTTGTTTTTTTCTTGTCCCATACATGGACGCACCAGACAAGTGCCGTGGGTGGATGCGCAGTTTATGCGACATTGGATTGCTGACGTATGTATTTCGGGGAGGGTTTTAGGTACTTTGGGAAGAGGTACATATGGCCAACCAGTGCGACTGATGTGGCGCAAAGCATACGGCGGTGCTTCTCGAAAAATTGGCCGTTCGGCCAAGGCTTATAGCAGAAGCTTACTGTTGCTGCGACTCAGTCGTCAGCCGAGCAGTCCAAACCTGGAGAATGCCGCATACACTTTATTTGTGGTGTTGAGAGTGTAATGAAGAGTGGTTGCTGGCCGGGCTGCTTTGATGGTAGTGTACACAGTAGTCGTGGTAGTTTGTAGGTACTTACAGAGTAGACTATGTAGGATGCAGGTACGCGATGGGCGCATGCAGGCGCGACCGGTTTCCATGACTAACCCCACATTTATGTGCCCCCCTCACCCCTCCCCTCACCCCCTTCCGTTCCTCTTGATTGCTTTTGCCAGTTTTGCCTGACCTTTTTTTTTTCTTCTTTCCATCCTACGGGTCCCGATGACTGTGCATGTACGCGTGCATTTCCCTGCCCCCTCGCCGCAGTACCGCGTAACCATTCCATACAGCCGTTTGGCGGGCGGCATCCAGAAGCTTCGTCGTGGACATTGCCGGGCTTCCTCTCGGAAATAATGGCGCGCTTGTGAGTTCTTGGCACGGGCCAGGTGAGATGCAAGTAGCCAAGCAACGGCAGCTGAAACATGGGCCCATGACTCGGCCGTTGCGGGTACATGGGGCGTTGAGTCCATGGCACACAGCCTGTCACTCGTCTCACATCATCTCATCTCGGTAGATTAAATTCGTATTTGCTTTTGCTGTGGGCGAGCGGTGTGATAGCAGTGGTCGATAAGTGCATGACAGCGAAGGGCAATGCAGTTAGACACCGTCCATTGTGTGCGTGCTGCTACCGCAGTCGGCCTCTTTCTCTGCACATCCACCTTCTCCAAAAGCACAACTGCACTGCTGCAAACAGCACCAACAAAACATGCCTAGTATTAAACAAACAAACAACTAAGCCTCCCTTTTGGGGCCTGAAATCCAGAGTCACAGTCAGCGTTACGATGAGCCCCACATTGTGGAGAAGCATCATGAACAGGTGGGTTGGCAGTGCGACGACTATCATAATCTTCACATGGGCCAAGCAATACAAACGTCTCGTCAAACACAATGAATAGCGCTTCTTTTGTATTGACCGCTATAGCCGTCGCAGCACCGGCACACGCAGCCCGGCAGCACACGCTAAACCGAATCCCCACGAAGCCTACATGACATGACGACCTTCTTGGCGGCTGGCAATACCTTTCGACTCAAAATGACCATCCGAGCAGCCTTCCCGTCTAAACTCAGACCAGGCGTGCTCGGCACTTGCGTGATGCGATTGCGAACCTCTACTTGCACCGTGTCCAGCCCGGTGCCGGGTCGTACTCTAGCCCGAACCCTATCGTTCATCATGAAATGGATCTTTCAAACGAAAAACTTAAAGAATCGAGAGGTATATCGCTGAGACAGTGGGCAATGAAAAAAAAAATGAAAAGAAAAGAGTAAAGGAAATTCGAGATGGAGAAAAAAAAAAACTCCCCCAAACCCAAGGCCCTTGTCACAGACGTGCCAACCTGGAAACATAACAGACACAAGAAGGAAGAAAATTTTATCTTATACACGGGGCAAATGTAAAATCGCTGCACGCAAATGGCAGTCGTGAAAAACGAAGAAAAGAAGGATGAGAAGAGAAAAACTTGACTCGACCATGCAATTACTGGCCTCTCACAGTTTAGAACATAGCACCCTCAGCGGAGCCTTGACCTCTGGCTTGGGTGTTCATGGGACGCGGAGGTGAGTTGTTGCGTCCCTGGAAACCACTCGATGGCACGGGAGGAGTCGGTCCCATTTGGCCCTGTGCTACTCCACGCAGACTTCGGCCTTCGCTTGTCGCTTTCCTCAGGACATTCCTAGGCGGTGGGTGCGCCTGCTCGTACAGACCGTCAGCCGAGCCGGTACGAAGCGGTTCTGCAAAAGGCGCTCGTGGGGCCTCAATGCCCGGCTGGACAGCGGGATCAGAAGCCGCTGAGCCCTGACCCTCACGACCAAATCCAAATCGTCGCCTCATGGGGTTGATGGGTGGAACAGGCGGCGCATCATATTCGATGCCATTCTTAAGGGACGCACCAGGAGGGAGATCAACCGTGTCGATCACCGACGTTGTGGAAATGAAGACGGGGTCCGAGATGTCTGCCTTGGCAACAGACTTCTTTCGCAACATTCCTTGTCTGTTTATAGGTTGCACAGTGCTTGGGTTGAAGGCAGGAGCACTAGGCGTGGCCGGGTTAGGCGTCGTTGGGTTAGACACAGGAGGCGTGTGGTTGTTGGAGAATGGGGGCATTGGAGAGGTAGGATGCGAGTAACCCTGACCACTGTGGTTGCTGTAAGCGCCAGGTGAAGGTCGAGGCGAAATCGGTAGTCCAGGCGACAATTTGCCGTGCGGAGGGGGAAATCGTGCATTTTGACCCGGTGTCAGGTTGGTCTGGATGGGGTTGAGGTGCTTTGATTCAAAGTAATTAGAGGCAGAAACTTTGCTGTTACTCCTTGAACGTGAGCGGCCTTCAGAATCCATTGACGTCTTTGGTGCAGGCAGAGGAGGCGTAGGGTGTGCTACATATCCGGGTAACGAAGGAAATGTGTTCGCAGGGTAGGCAGCTCGGGACCCTTCGGCCATGGCCTGGTCCAAGTCATCACGGTAATGACCTCCACGGCTCTGGGAGCGTCCTGATGAGGTGCCAGAGCTTGAGCGTTCTCTCGTCGAGCTCCTGGTTGAAGCTGGCTGTGTTCTACCTGCAGGACGACCTGTCCGGCTGCTATCGGTTGTTGAGCGTTGTCTGTGCTCGAGCTCACGCTGCGCATCCTGCTCGCTCTGTTGCAGTACACGGGAAGGCTTGGTTCGCAGCGGCGGCATGTCGGAACTTTGCATGCTCACAAGCGAAGTGCTGCTGAGATTGACCGCGGAGGAACCAAGAGCAAGCTTCCTCACCGACTTGTTGGATGCATCGACTGTGGCAAATGCTTCGCCGTTTGACTTTGCGCGAAGCATGCTCAGAGCATTCTTCAATCCTCCTGATGGTCCGGCACCAGGCCCAGGGCTCAGTGACCGGCCCTCGGCCTTTGCGCGAAGACTCTCTTGGATCAGGCGTTGTCTCTGGGCAAGATCTCGTTGGAATGCCTCGTGCTCAGCTTCCGTCTCATTGCTAGCAATCCTTTCGTGATTCCTTCGAGGAGTGAGGTCCCACGTGGATGAACCAATGTGGTGCTCAGAGGTGCTCATGATAAGAGGCCTGATCCTGGTTGATCCCTCAATGGGACTCGATGGTTTGGCAGCCCCGCGCTCTTCACGATAGGGGCCATCAATGTCATCAAGATCCCATGGGTTGGAATGGCTGTACGTTGATGGCACAGGCGTGACGGACTCGGACTCGGAATCCGGCTGTCTACGTTGCAGTCCAAAGTCGTTCTTCTGGAATGCCGAATCCATGGGTGGGCTCATGACGGGCGGACCTGGTTCGCCGTAAGTGGAAGAGACATTGCTGTTGCTGCGCAGATGCTGGCGAATCAGACCACTAAGTCCACCGTTTTGGGGGCCGAGGGTGGGAGAGTCATTGTCTGCGACATTTAGTGCGGGAGACACGGGGCCTTGGTAGGGAGAGCGAGCGATGGAGCTTGATTGTTGAGTGTCCTCGTCTGATGGAGCACGTGAGCGGAGTGCAGGGTGCTCAAACATGGGCGGCGCAGGACCAGTTGCAACTGGGAGGTTTTCAAACCGACGGGCGGAACCTGCAGGACGAGTTGTCACTGGCTTGGAAACTGGTTCCTCTTGTTGCTGTTGTTGTGCTTGCTCGTCATCACTCGAGTCAGGCGAGGCAAAGAAGGTAGCTTTCGCACATCCGTCCTTTGGGTTCTGTGAGGGCTTCTGGCTTGGCTGTACGTTTGCAGCTGCTTGACCCGCGATCCTCATCTGGCTGGCAGCAGCCTGAAACCTGGAAAAAGCATTCGGGGCTGTGCTTTGCTCGGTGGGTGATTCAGGTCTAGGCTTCTCTCTTGCGTCACTTTCCGCTCTCTTCCTTCTCTCCTGCTCAGCCCGCTCTCGCAACGAGGGTTTGCGAGGAATCGACTTAGCAGGTCCTGTTGCTGGTGATTCGCGTGCTTGTCGGTCTTGGTTCATCTGTCGCAAACGCTCGGCATACTGCTCTTCACTGAAAGCCTCCTTTGGCTTGTTGAAGGCACCCAGAGCAGTAGCTTTGCCTCGATCGTTTGGTTGGAGCGCAGCATTGAGCGAGTGAGCATCGCTGCAGTCGCTAGTCACTGGGCTTACCAATGGTGGCGATTGTGACCGCGAAAGAACAGGGCTTGATGTGCCAGACGAGTTTGTTCGGACCATGGCCGGGTGGCCAGAGGCACCGGGGCTTTCGGAGCGGAATCCAGGACCCCTGGCAAAGCGGTCGTGGAGATTTGTTGCAGAACGTGCTTGACCGATGGGCAGAGGCTGGTTTGATCGCAGTGTAGGCGCACGCGCTCGCTGTATCGAATTGAGTCGGTTCATGGCTGAGGATTGCTGGTCTTGAATTTGTTGATCCAGGCCTTGGTCATAAAGTCGCCGCTTGGTAGTTGACCGGTTCAGATCTGGGGAGCTTATGGGAGCCGAGGAAGGGGGCAAGGAGGGAGAGGAGGCGGAAACCGAGTTGGCGCCTTGGGAGGCTATTGAAGTCGCAGCGGTGGAGATGCGGGTATTGGATGGGCCAGAGTTTGTCGAGGATGTAGTCTCCCTCTTCCGGCTCAGTTCTGTGGGACTGGAGGGTTCCGAGTGCTGGCTCTCTTCCTCCTCTTCTGCCTGTTGCCGTATGCGCTCCTTTTCTTCCTGTCGTAGGCGTTGGTATGCTGACAGGTTGACATCGTCGTCGTATAGAGCGCGTCCAGTGCCCTTTGAGTTTGTGTTTGAAATGACGTAGATTTTCTGTCGTCCACCAAAGAGGATGTTACCCTCGCCAGGTCTCGCTCGGCTCATGACACTGCCAGAGCCATCTTCCTCTTTGGGGCCATCAAAGGAGTCGGTGCGTTCAGCAGCAGTCGGTCGGTGAAGAGAACCTTTGAGCGAGGATACTTCAGCAATGTCGGAGAGGCCACCAGGAACGAAACCAAACTCATGAAGGCGGGACTGACGTTTGGGTTGGAGAACACTATCGTCGCTTGCTTTGCCGATGAGAGATGAAGGATCATCCTGCTCTCTCAGCATGCTGAAGCGGGTGGATAGACCGGGCAGGATTAGACTGGTGCGGAAATCGTCTGCTTTTGGGAGCACGGCATTGAGATCGAATTCTGGCTTGACCTCTTCTTCTTGACCCTTTTTGCCCTTTTTGACCTTCTTCCCGGCAGGCGCGTCTTCGGCGCCATCCTTCTTCCTATTCAGCCAGCGGTTCATGGTGTCCTAGCCGGAATTAGCGAGGTGGTGAGAGGGTGGGAGAGACGAGGTGTGGTGTCTTACTGCTTACAGTGACTACACTAGGGTGTAGGCGATGTTTTGCAGGCTGACCAATGGCTGCTTGGCGGCAGGAGCGAGGAGCGAGGAAGTGAGGGTGAAAGCAGCAGGCGGCAGCATGCAGTGTGGGAAGGGGCGAAGGGCGAATTGGGTGCTGGGTGCCAGGCGCTGGCTGTGGAATAGTGCGTGTGGGAGTGTCTGTGGGTGTGTTTGTGGGTATGTGTGTGGAGAATAGGAGGACAGGCAGCGTCGGGCAGGCGGGCGGGCGTGCGAGTCTTGGGGGGGAAAGTATAAACAATAGATTAAGAAACGGGTTAAGGAGCGTGTGAGGCTGAGAAGCAGACGAAGGCAAAGGAGCGGATGCACAGGCGCGCAGCGAAGTGCGGCGTGGTGAAGGGAAAGGAATGCAGAAAGCAGATCTCCCGACCGAAAAGATGGCACGACAAGCCGGTATTGGTGGGCATTGGACAGTTTTTGCTCTGGGGGAGTGATGGGCGCGTCGAGCGAGGGCCAGGATTGATTTTGACTAGGCTCATTTCCGTGCCGTGCATGGGCGCTTGAGGCCGGGCGGTGGCAGGGAAAGCTGGAGCAACATCACAGTGGGAGCAGCAGTAGCAGCAGGCAGAGCAGGGTTTGGGCGCAGGGAGCAGCGGGGGCGCTAGGACCGGGCGTGGCTCCACGGGCTCGAGTGGCTCGAATGTGGTAGAGTAGCCCCAGTGCTGTATTACCGACTGTGGTTGGCGGCAGGTGTGGTGGTTGATGGGAGTGATGATGGTGGTGGCGGCGGCGGCGGCGGCTGGCAGCAGGGGAGGCGCCGCCGCAGCCACGAGTCGTCTCGTGACTCTGGCTGTCGGAAGACAAAGGCCCGCCTCCCCTAGAGCGACAGGACGAGTAGCAGCAACAGCAACAGTCGCAGCCAGGCCATGGTGTTGAGCGCCCGAAAGCGCCGCGTCCAATCAGGGCGCGCCGGTACCTTGCAGGCCCCCCGCCGTCTCCCTGCCTGCTGAAGTCTCCAGACGCTGCATGTTCCGCTCATGGTCGCGCAATGCTTTTTCCGTGTCTCTGCACTGCTCGTTTTTCTTTTCGTCTCAATTTCTTTTCACCAGTCAGCCAGCCAGCCCGCAAGGCCACAGGGCAAACGACGCGCCCACCAATTGTCCGGCCGGGCATGGTTGGGCTTGGCGGTGGCCGGAGAAGCAGCACCGGCAGCACCAGCAGCAGTGCCGGCACGCCCTCACCCTTCGCGTACCTGAAGCCGCTAGGCCCGGGAGACTAGTCCACAGGCGGACTAGTTCCAGGTGCAAGGCGTGCACAGTGAAGCGAACGAATCACCCGTAACCCCGGTCCCGGTTACCTTTATCGTTTCCCCTGGCCTAACCGCCTACCGCCATGATGCCTCTCCCTTTCCTGCACCCACGTCCACGCCTGCACATTGGCTGCACACGGGCTGCACACGCTCCCATGTACATGTCCACACACACGTCCACTCCATGCCCTCCATTGTACATGCCTACACACTACTTACGCAGTACGCAGTACTTACACAGTAGACGCAGTGCACACTACATCTGTATCACCCCACCCCCGCCTCCGCCCACTCAGCTTCCTCTTGACCTGTCCGACTCTCTGCTGCCGTCACATGTCCACTGCAGCCTTCAGCCTTCAGCCACTTACTCCATGCTGCTGACCTCCGAGGCCCGCGGCGCCCTCTGCCCGCCCCGTGCGTCTGCCATGACTGTCATGATATCTCCTCCATTCGGCCACCCGACCACGACGTGTCAAAACCCTCATCGCTCTGCCTGACAAGTGGCTGACTAACTCCTGTTAAGAATAAGGCAGCCAAGACCCCCTCCCCCTATGCCCATGCTGCTGCACTTACTTACTTGAGTACCTACAGTGTACACTGTTCCCCCATCCCTCTGCTCGCTCTGATCTCGCTGTGACCATGGCATTGACTGTCCTTTTTTTTCAATGCACTTCCCCCCCCCCCATCCAGTCCAGTGGTTGCTGAACTAAGCACAGGCCCAGGGCTTTGTTCTGTTCTGCTCTGCTCTGCTCTGCTCTGCTTTGCTCTGCTCCCTTGCTGCCTCCTGCCTCTGCCTTCCCTCGCTCCCAAACCACCGTCCAAGCCTTGTACGCACGGATCACCTTGCTCTATCCAATCTAGTGCCTCCCGTCATTCTTTCCTTCCTTCCTTTGTTCCTTTCTTCTTCCACAACACGATAACCCCCGGCCACCAGGGAAATTGCCAGGCCCGGCGAGGCCATCGGATCGATTGTCGTGTTTCAACAACAAGCCTAGTCCCTCCCCCACTCTGCTGCTCCTCCTCCTCCTCTCCCCTCTCCCCTCTTCCGAAATTATCCATCGTCCACCATCGGCGCTACTCGTCGCTACTCAAGCCTTGCAGACACCGCCACCACCCATTCATTGCACCATACTTAGCCCTACTTGCCGACCCACACACGCCCTGTCTTCCCACCAACAAGCCCCGGTCGCCAACCGTCACCACGCCCAACGCTCCGTCATGGCTCCCCTCACAAAGTTTAACGTCCAGCCCGCCCCCACCACAGCACGATAAGCTTTCCCACTAGCCACACTCGACAACTACCTGCAATCTGCCTGCACTCTGCTCTGTTCAACCCTACAGTACACGCTCACTGCTGCTATTTGCGCACTGCGCGCCAAATCCAGCTAACAAGTGAATACTGCCAAAACATACTACAAGGTAACACTCAAGCACACCACCGCCATCCTCCACTCTCAAATAATTTATTACCCTCTACTATCGCCCTACGTCTTCATCCCTCGTGTTTCGCATCTCACTTCCCCTCCGGCCCGCATATTGCTATTAAGCGGGGCACCGTTGAATGCGTGCCGCTGTTTTACAACCCTATCCACTAATCTGCAGTCATGAACAACTTTTTTTCCCCTGCAGCGTTGTTATCGGGTCCCACGTTTTCGCTCACCACCACCGTTGCCGACCGGCCATCGGCGACCGAGAAGAAATTGCAAAGACAGATTTTTTAGCAACATCCGCTTACAGTATACTCTCGCCCTCATCAAAGTGCAGAATCTCGGCTGATTCCAAATTACCTTCGTTTTCCCCCACAACTCCGGGAGATGAGCTCCAAATTTCGTCCCGACCACGTGAAACAACATCTCCAAGGGTCCCATGATCCTGGACGACGATCATTCCCCCTGGCCCAATCCATGTCGTCCGTTGCCTTTGAAAGTGCGGTTCCAGATTATACCTGATATACTGTAATGAGACTACTTCAACCTAGCCACTCAAGTACATGCTGTCGACATTGTACAACATATCACGTTGACAAAGTACGCACCACTAGCTCCTAGGCTCCGTGGCAACATTCAGGAGAGCCTGACGTCCCATCGCCCAACATGGCTCACCTACTTCACTCTCCCACACCTGCTTTTCACGACCATGTGACGGTTTCATCTGCTTTGCAGTGACGTCTTCATCATCATCATCGGTTGCAATAGCCACATACCAATCAGTGAACCAACCCACTACCTGGCCTGCTGCTTACTGTGTTCCTCCCGCCCGCCCCCTCCCCTCCCCCCATATTAAATCTACCCAATCACTCGGGTGAGGAACACGCAACACGCTCATACGGTCGTACTGGCATGGCTATCGATGCAAGTACTCATGTAAGATCAAACACAAGATCAGCAGCCGCCAAAGCATATCTCCCTTACTTTGTCCCTTGCCACACTACTCAATACAACCCTCAACCATGCCACTTGTGCGCATACAACGTCTTTTGTTAAACCTACTTACACACTTTCTAGCCCTACACTTTGCTTTCGGCCCGACTTTGTAAGAGGTGTATTGGTTCAAATGATTGCTCGCCTGCCAGGTGTACATACTCGCTACGTATACATATATACACGTACTACTTACGTACTCTACTGCAACTAGCACGTTGTAGCTAACCCAGCTGTGAACTCTAATGCTTGTCGTCTTCTTCCCATGCATGGGGCAAATTGTTCAATCCACATGGTACCCTCGGCTTGGAAGTCTAAACATGCTCAATATCAAATGTGGGGGAAAAAACGTAATAACACATAGATTGAATCATTTCTCGTGTAATCAAAACAGGAAAGTAACCAAAAAAAAAGTGTCGCATCGGTCGATGTCTGTCAATATTCGCGGTAACAAGTAGTACTACTCCGCTGTCCATTGTTCCATGAAGCGACGAAGTGACGATAAGCTTTGAGAAAGCAAAAAAAACAAGACAATAATAAGACCGCGCGCCCCATACCCTAAATCGACCCTTGGATTCAAATCAACGCCAATGACAACAACGCCCCAGAGACATATGTGTGTGCCCAATACGTCCGCAATACCCTTCCCAATCAAAGACAACAAACACCCCGTGTTGTCTCACCTCTTTTACATCCCATGAACCCACATGATTTCGTATATTCCCCGGCCCAAAAGAACCAACAAACCCCAGGAGAGAGAGAGAGTGTGTGTGTGTGTGTGTGCGTGTGTCATCATCATCTATCCCATCCATCATCCCATCATTCCCCTTACCCAACTACGTATTCTTACACGCCCCCTACTCCCCCTACAATACTACCAACACCAACACCAACACCATTACATGTAACGGACCAGGCACTCTACTCCTTTCCACCTCCCATACGCTCAATGTTCGACATCAACCGGCTCTTGCCCCCACTACCGCTGCGGCTTAACCCAGGTGTGCTCTGGTACTTGAGCCCACCAGGTGCCCGTAGCCCAGATGGCTTGCCTACGTTGCTGCTGCTGCTGTTGCTTCCACTACGCTCATGCATGGCACCCGTTCCGCTTGCAGGACGTCCGCCTCCAAGAGCAGACCCTGGTCGTGCTGGGCCGCCAGCGAGGAACCCCGTGTTGCGCATAGCCTGTTGCTGAGGCGCCGCTTGCTGATAACTGCTAGCTGCCTGCTGAGGCGCTGCCTGTGCTGGTTGTTGAGATGCAGTTCGTGACTCTGGCTTCATCTGCGACCGACGCAAGTCTTCTTGCTGCATTTCCTCCATCTTTTCGCCGCACATGGACAACATTTGCTCAGCTGCCGCTACCAATTCACCCTTTTCGATCCGCTCCGCCTCCAGATCTTCTACAAGAGCGTCGTGTGACTTGCGGAGTGACTTGAGCTCAGACTGCAGACCTGCAAGTTTGGCCTTGAGATTCTCAATCTCGGCTCTTTGCGCCTCCAGCATCTGAGCATCCTCTGCATTCCGTGTGGGCCTCGAGGGTGACGCCCCTTGGTTCTCATCGCCGTCTTTTTGACCAGAAGCAGTCTTGCTCAAAGTGTCGCCGCGCTTCTTCTCAGCCTCTTCAACCTGTCGTTCAAGACCGACTATCTGCAGCTTGAGCTCTTTGCACCGCTCATCGGCCTTTCTCTGATAGTTGTCCTTGAGCGCCTTGATCTTCTTCTCGTGCTTGGCCTTGTAAGCTGTGTGGAGATCACGTGCAACCTCGTTGACCTTGTCGGCAATGGCGGCCTGGCATTCGAGTTCAGAGTAAATCTTCTTGTCACCTGCCTCATCATTGCTGATAAACGTAGTCATGTCGACATTTTTGCTTTCAGCTTCAATGACCTTGGTCTCCAGTTCAGCCGATCGGCTTTCAGCTTCTTCAGCACGTTTCTCAGCTTCGGCCAATCTGGCAAACAGCTCTTCGCGTTCGGCATCGTTGCGAGCCATCTCAGATTGAACGTCCTGTAATAGCCTCTGAACCTCTTCGCCTTTTGATTTCCAGTCCACCATCTGTGTCTCCGCATACTCGCGGGCAGAGCGCTCCTCGCGTACAGTTTCTTGGGCTTCACCCACACGTCGCTCAGCATCTGAGATAGCCCTAGAGAGTGCCTCGATCTCGGCCTCTTTTCCTGACAAGCTAGCAGTGAGAGAAGATATCTGAGACTGGAATTGAGACTTGACAGACTCTAGCTCTCTAATGGTAACTGTTGGAAGGGATCGGGGCGTCGGTGGTGGAGGAAGCTCAAAGTCCAAGAGATTGAGCATTTGGCGGCTTTGGTTTGGTGTAGCAGGCACATTTGATCCACCCTTGGCAGGCGATCGTTGACTCTGATAATAGGACCGTAGCGTTGGCTCTTTGCTGGACTTGCTGGGTGATGTCTGTCCGCGACCAGAGGAGCTGTTACGCGATGACGAAAAAGACTCAATTTGAGCAGTAAAATCCAAAAGCAAGTTCGTGGTGTCATTGTCTTTGTATGTACAACGGGGTGTGGGGCTAGGGGTTTTATCGCTACGACGAACGGTTGAAGGTGTCATCTGGGCGCGAGGGCGTGGTGTAGCCTGTAATGTTGTCAGTGTTGCGCCTTAGTAATGATCTTCATCATTTACATACATCTAGCGCGTCATCCTTCACCGGGCTCTTTCTGAGAGCCGCAAATTTGGTCATGTCTATTCCCGGCATCTCGGAGAAGGTGCTGAAGCAGGTGTCATCGATATCCAGTGAGGTGGCTTCTAGGCCATCCGGGTGCATATCTGTGTTGTCCAAGACTGAATCGAGTTCAATTTCAGCATGGTGGTAACTTTGCCTCTTAACGCTCCCTGTGTTTTCCTTGTGTGTCTCTATGAAGTTCATAGCTGCGGTCAAACCCTCATTATCACGCAACACACGTGCCTTGAGGGGAGAAGAAGCCGGTCGTTTCGAGGGAGTAACCGATATCTCGGGGACTTGATCTGCCAATGATAGCTTACGCTGGGTTGTTTCGGGCGATGATGCGTGCACCGATTTGGAGGGCGATCGGCTTTTGCGAGAGACGCTGCTCAGCGGCGATCCAGACCATTCTGTAGCAGCTTCGCGGACGGGAGAAACATTGGCCTTGGGACTTGCGGTGCTGCTCTTGAGCCCTGCGTCTTCAAAGTCGTCCATCAGGTTTTTGACAGGCGATGTCTTCATGGGACTTGTTCGCTCTTTGAGGACAGATTTCTTGTCTGGTGAGACCTTGAATGCGGATTGGGGCACGTTGGCATCCAGGTCGACCAGCGACTTGATAGGCGTTTGCACAGCATCTGGTGCAACGTTTTCCCGGTCGTCAATGCCAATGTGCGCGACAAAGGGTGAGGAAGGCGTGTCGTGGAAAGCCATGTCGATGTCGTCGTCAATGACGATCGAGTCGGAGTGGGTGTTGTATTTCTCTGGCGAGAGAGGCGGCACTGGTTCTTCCATTTGTGCGACTAGAGGTTGTCAAGCCTGTGGGTGGTTAGTGCAACAGTGCGGAGAGCGCTTGGGAATGCTGCTCCTGTGTTGTGATAACTTGTTTACACGTCCGTGCGCACTGTTGCCCCTTCCCAACTTAGTAACCCCCGGTTTGGCCGACGGAGATATTTCGCCAACGCGTAGTACGCATGCCTTGGTGATTGGTCTGATGAAGAAGCAACGCAAAATCAAAACACCAATCCGATTTCACAAGGAAAAATGATAGGACTTTCATTCAAATCATCTTACTGCTGACACAAAAAATACGCGCATCTCTTATATTCCCTGCCATTAATGGCGGGGTCAACATATCTGTAAGTGAATTTGTCAAGAATCTTGTGGCTAGATATGCGGTACAAACACCGGCAGAAAGCAAATCAGTTGTTAATTGCCGTTCTCATTGCCCCAGCCAGTCGCTGATACTCCTTCAAAAGCTCATCAATCTCCTTCAACTTAAAATCCTGTGCGTCTTTTGCTTCGAGAAAACGTTTTACTGGTGGTGGTGTCTTTTTGAGTTGATCTAGTGCAGCGATCGCCTTTGCTCCCTTTTCATCTGGCTGTGGCATTTCCGCTGTTGAGGTTCGACTGAGTGGCTCAGGCGAAGGGCATGTCTTTGGTGCTTCCTGGCTTGAGGAAGAGAGAATAGGCGTGGTGCTATTGCTCACAGCACGTGCGAAGCGGGGTAGTACATTCATACTAGAGAAACGATTTAGAGGATTGAAGTTGTTACCCATGTTGCGAAGAGAGTCGACAGCAGACACATTGTTCGATGGAGGAGGGTCTGTTTTGACTGCTGCAGGCGATGGGGCCTTTTCTTCTGCATTTGGCGTAGATGTAAAAGTGACACGTCGTCCGCTATTACTGCCACCTGACTTAGTAGAATCGACACTGCGGTCTCTGATTTGCCTTTTGCCAGCAAAGAGATCGGCCATCTTTGCGTCTAGTCCTCTACCACTAGCATTATCTGATGACTCCTCACCTTGAATCGAACCTGCAGCACTGAGGCTCAGAATATCATCGTAGGATTCCGTTCGAGTGGGGGAATTGACCAGCTTCATGGCATCTTCTAGCGTCTTGGGCAGTGCCGGCTGTTCTTGCATGGGGCCGTTAGGGTTCTTTTCTCTAAAACCACCAAAGAAAAACTTGAAGCTTGTGTCTAGCGTGGTATTGATTCTCCCAAGGGCCTGATCGGCCGAGTCTAGGATTGAATCTCGTACCGCGTCCGAGGCGGCTTCTATCTTGTTGGTCTGCGTCTGAATGAGATTACTCAAGCGACGTTGGGCTTTTGTAGTTGTAGGGCTTGATGGCTCTTTGGGCATGGCTTTTGCAATGGGAGTGGCGGGCGTCTGAATGAGATCTGGGGCATCTGATAGACCCAACGACATGGGAGTTATCTCTGACTTTGGTGTTGCGGGCCTTGAATCTAGTTTTGCGGAAACGGCCTCTTCGGACCGTAATGATGAAAGATCAACAGTCTCGAGAAACGAGATGGCTGCCTCTAGGTTGACCAAGCAGTAGGCAGTTTCGCCATCCATGCGGCTCGATGCGCGGAAGCGGTGGATAAAGTTCAGATCGCTGATGACGTTCAAGTGAACAGGGGGCATGGTAATGAGTGCGTAGATGAGGGTGGGGAGAATTTCGTCTGCAGACGATGTGGCAGGGAAGATTTTAGACAATGCTTCAACAATCGACTTGTGCGTAGCAGTAAGATGTTGTACTTTGCCGAGGGGATACTTTTCGTCGTTCATTTTGAGTAAGTCTTGCCGCGCCGCTGACAGGTACTCTCGAATCTCGGGCTCCTTCTCCTTTGCTTTCTGGCGCTCTTCCTCTGTCAACTCTTCACCGGTCATGAGCAATTCTTGCAGACCAATGCCCACCAGTGAGAGGGCTGCTGTTCTCGATCTGAGCTTCTGATCTCTTTCCTCGTCGTCGGTGCTCCTGTGCCGCCATATCCTCTCGTATACCTTCTCACAAACTGCTCGCTCGACAGCCTCCTCCAGGGCCAGCCGTTTGACCTCGAGCGCCTTTCGAGCTTTTTTGCGATCAGCCATCTCGGAGGCACTGAGCATCTGCTGTTCTCCCGATTGATCGCTTCCCTTCCGTATGGAACCCGGTCTGCTCGATGGAGCAATGCCTTTCTTCGAATCCGCAACAAATGATTCACTCGTGATTCGGGCGGATAGGGTCGCTATGTGTGTGTTGATTTTGGAGGAGGCGCGGCCGTAGAAGTCCTGGAAGAGGTCGGCGAGGGCGTCGGCGGACAGTGGGGTGGGATGGATCTTTGCCGTTAGGGATTCGAGAAATCTACAGGTGCGTCAGAAGGCCATTGGGGCGGTATACATGAGCGTAGGCAAGTACCGCTCTGTCAAGCTGCGAATCTCTATGGGCAGCTCCTCGAATGTGTCTGGTGCCTTTTGCTGTTCCCCATGCTCCTCGTCATCCTCGCCCTTTTCAGCAAACACATCGCCCTCTGTGTTTTCATCCTCCTCTGGCAGTATGGAAGCCTTGAGCGGATCGAGCATGTCTGACGCGTGTGGGCCTTGCAGTGTACTCGCTCGGCTTCGTGATAGCGGGCTTTTAGGGGCAGGCTCAAGCCGAGTAAAAGAACGCGAGGGATGGAGGTTTCTGGGGCGGTCGGCCATGATGACGGTGGTTTGATAAGATGTCTCAGGGTATTCTAGGCGTGTCGTGTGCGTGCATCGAAGGGAAAGACGCTGAAACCTGTGTCGAGTACATACGCTCACGTCATGCGGCGGCACTTCCGAGAGCACCGAGCGGCGGTTTGGTCTTGATACAACGCAACGACTTCAATATGCACAGTGACGGGCAATGACTTGAGTGGCTGTGGCGTGTCTGGCTAGCGAGCGTGCTTGGTGTTGGCAGACGGGCTGGCGTGTGAAGCTATGTGCTATCTACATTCTGCTAGTACTAGTAGCACTACCAGACCAGCAGCGAGCTCGTTATCAATGGCCATGGAAGCTCCGCGCCCCCCGCACAGGAGGAGAGCTCCGCACGTGCAAGTGGCTGCGGGTGGCGGCCACCAGCGCGTCTGGGGTCAAGTGAACCACGGATCGTCATAGATGGGTGGTGTGTCTGTTATTATGTATGTAGTACATATGCATACCTACTACTGCATGGTGCCACTCCTTGCCTGAAGCTACTACGCGTCTCCTCCTGCCTCCCTTTACCAGTGCACGACATTCTTGACAACTGCCTGTCTACGCCATGCGCCAACGACCGCTGTGTGCCTCGGCATCGCGCATCGCCGCCTCGTTCCTGCTTTCGTTCCTCGCTGCATGCATCAGTAGCGCCGCTGAGGTACCCATCCTTCCGCCGCCGTCTATTCCTCCCAGTACCCACAGCAGTGACAAAGAGTTCTCGCTGCGGCATGTTTTCCATCATGGCACATACAAGTACCCGGAGCTGCACAGGCGGCTCGATGTTCCTGAGCAGGCAGCAGTATGGATGGCCGCCGATGCGCATTCGACCGACCGCGAGCCAGTGCCACTGTTGCGCGTCAAGTCCGAGGCCATGACGATACAGAGACTAGCAGATAGGAGCAAAGAGGCGATTGACGGCATCCTTGAATGGGGCAGGAAGACTGGAAGAGCTGTGCAGCTTGCAGAGGAAGACTGGACCATGGACGAGATTGCGGGCCCAAATGTGACGGACAGAGAGACGGTCCTCAGCTTCGCGCGCATGGCCTCCAACGCCTACATACTCGAGCCTAACACTGGAGAGTGGGAAGACGTTGGCGGGGGGTTCAACTACACGGAAGACTTTGGCTGGGAGTCGGATGGCCTGCGAGGTCACATCTTCGCCGACACGGAGAACTCGACTGTTGTCATTGGCCTCAAAGGCACCTCGCCCGCCATGTTTGACGGTTCGGAGACGACGACCAACGACAAGATTAACGATAATTTGTTCTTTAGCTGCTGCTGCGGCCAAGGCGGGCAGTACCTGTGGCGCCAAGTGTGCGACTGCCAAACATCTGCGTATACGTGCAACTCGACATGCCTTGTCACTGCCCTGCGGGAGAAGAACCGCTACTACTATGCGGCGCAGGACTTGTACCACAATGTCACGGCGCTGTATCCCCATGCCGAGATTTGGATGGCGGGCCATTCTCTGGGCGGTGCCGTGTCTTCGTTCCTGTCCCTGACGTTCGGGCATCCAGCCGTGACGTTTGAGGCGGTGCCAGAGGCCATGCCAGCCTCGCGCCTGGGCCTCCCAGCACCACCGGGCCATCAGATTGGGTCGCTGCAGCAGCGAAAGTACACGGGGGGGTTTCACTTTGGACACACGGCAGACCCGATATACATGGGCACGTGCAACTCGGCCACGAGTGCGTGTACAATCGGCGGATATGCCCTGCAGAGTGTGTGCCATACCGGACACAAGTGCGTGTACGACACGGTCAGAGACTTTGGATGGCGCGTGGGCATTGGCACACACAAGATTGTCGAGGTGATCCGAGATGTGATTCTGAAATATGACGCGCCGCCAAGGTGCGAGGCATATGTGGACTGCACCGACTGCTTTATGTGGGAGTACTTTGAGAGCAACGGCACCGAGACGACAACGACGAGCTACAAGCCTACAGCAACATCGACATTGGCGTCAAGCCGAACCACGCGGACAAGGACAGAGACGTGCAAAACACCGGGGTGGTGGGGGTGCCTGGATGAATCAACAACAAAGCAGCCACATAGCAAGACAACGGTTACAACAACAATCACAACAACAACGTGCAAGACGCCAGGGTGGTTTGGATGCAAGGATGAGGTGACAAAGACAAAGACGATGACGTACACTACGACGGCAGCGCCCGTGCCCTCTGTGACTACGACTTCGTCTGCACCCACTTCAACATCATCGTGCAAGTATCCAGGCTGGTTTGGCGATTGTCTCGATGGCGACGATCCACCTACTAAGACACACGACAAGCACAAGCCCAAGTCCAAGTCCAAGTTGAAGCCAACACAGACGTCAACTTGGACGCCAACACCTACAGCGACCAGCACATCATGTACTTCCGAGGGCTTCTTTGGACTCATTTGTTACGACAAGTCTACCAAGCACAGGACAAGCACCTCAGCAGAAGCGAGCAGGGAGAGGATGGAGATGTAGCGGTGTGTGTGTGTGTGTGTGGGTGGGTGGGTGTTTGAAGGCAGAGCAGGGTAGGGCAGGGTAGGGCAAAGGGGGCGGCGGTTGAGACTAGCGGATGGATGCTTTTGTTGTTGAGTGACTTGTTGTGCTCTCGAGGTGGGAAGGGGAGATGATGATATCCTGGCGTTTTTGTTTTATTCATTTTTTCCACGAGGGGAAGGAGTATAGCGTCTTGTTTTTGTTTTTGCTCTTTCCTTTGTTTTCTGTGGGGGGTGGGGGGAAGGAGCAAAGGCGCATTTGCATTCGGCATGATTTGCGTCTTTTTCCCGATGGTAATGAAGCATGGCAATGAAGAATAGCATGACAGGCTATGTATGTAGAGTATAGTACTAGTAGATGTGGAATGTCATGGTTGCATGGTGTGTGGCGCTTGCTCAGCTTGCATGGTGCAGAGGGGCCGTGTTTGAGGAGGGTGGCACAGGCACAGGCGCAGGCGCAGGCACAGGCATAGGCAGAGACAGAGAGGTGGTAGAGGTGGGTTGGGCTCTGCTTCTAGTGTACTACGTAGCCGATAGCCGCTGTCCTGACGCAAAACAAGGCACCAGGGTGCTGCTGCTGCTGCGACGGCGACGACGACGACGACAGAGTGTCAAGACAATGCAGGGAGGCAGGGCAGAGAGGTGTTGAGCAAGTCACGCGCATCTGGAGTCGGTGGCACAGTGCGAGTGGGCGTTGTCGTCGTGACTGGCAATATCTCTCAGACTCCACCCGGGTGCAGGCCAGGGCAGGCTTGGACGTTGATTTTTATCATGTCGTCACTGCATGGTATTTTTCGGACTTTTATTTTTTCCTGCCCTACCGTCGCAAGCGGGCTACGCACACGAGCCGGGCAGTTGGGGCTGGAGGGCCTGGAGACGAGCCATGCACATGCAAGTAGTATGTACATGTACATGTATGTGTACTTGTGTACTTGTGTACTAAGCATGTATGCACTGTCGAGGTGCAGGCAGGCAGGCAGGCAGGCAAACAGGCAGGCCGGCCTGGGTGCTTGGGGGCTAGGGGGGCTAGGGGAGCAGGGCGAGGATGTGCAGCAAGATGAGAGCGGGCCGAAGAGCAGCAGCGGTGGCGGCAGGGATGGGTGGGGGAGGGGACGACGAGGGGGGGCATTTTGGATTGGCGGGTGACGTTCCCTGCGTGACGAACTGGCGGTCTGGCGGCGGGCAGGCGAGGCAAGAGAGGGAGAGATGGGCAGGCGAGGCAAATACTCGAGGTCTGGGCCGCGACAATCACTGTTTCCGGCGAACCATGATGCTCCCACGGCCACTCCCCCTCTCCCCACCTACCCTTTTCGACATGCTCTAGCACCCTCTGCCCTCCAGCACCTGCACTCATACGCCGCTCCGCTCGACGATCATCAACATCCAAAGCCTCTCGGATATGGGTGCCGTTCTTTTGTAGCTGTCATCATCATCATGATTATCACTACAGCCGCCGGTGCTACTGCTGCTGCTGCTTGCTCGACCAGATTGACATGGCACCTTTTGCTGTCGTCGCCGGGTCACCTGCCCCCAGACTCCTCGTCGTCGTCGTTGTCACTGCACACGTACACGCGCACATGCTACTTACGCACACACACACACACACACACACACACACAAGCCCTCACTCGTCTCACTCGTCCTCTCTCCCTCACCCACGCACCACCACACGTACGCACGGCCGGCGTGATGCGCGGAGGCGTCGAGCGGGTGCAAGGAGCGTCTCGCAGCCGTTGGCATGGCTGTCGGCGCTAGAATGTCCAATGTCGCAATGGACAGGGGCGACAGGGCGGTTTTAGCTTGCGATGGTCGGGCCCAGCGCAGACGAGCTAGCCCCCTCGCTGTGCCTTGGAAACTGGCTCTTTTCCTCGATGCCCCATAAGATGCTCGATCGCCGATACATCTGAATTTCCCTCTGCTCTGCATCTCCTCCCATCTCTCCGCCCTCTGCCCAGCGTCCTGCCACTGCCACGCTCCGCCGGCCTTTTTTCCGCCCTGCTCGGCCTCTTTTGTTTTTCTCCCACGCCTGCCCCTCAGCCCTACCCCTACCTACCCTCCGCCAGTCACGGGACCACCCTCGCCTCGCTCTCCCAAGTCCAAAGTCCCTCTGCGCGTTCTCGACAAAGGTCCCTGCATCCGGCCCACGCCCGCCAACTTTTCGTGCCTTAACACCAATCGCCACTGCGTCACCTCCAAATCCCGTCGTCCCTGGCCCGCTGTCAACCACCACCCTGCTGCACTGCTCCAAAAAAAAAAGGCCCGTCTTGTAACGGTTGCACCACAAAACGTTCTCCGACTAGAGAGGCCTGTGCCTGCCCCTCCCGACCGTGTGTCTGTGTGCCTGTCTGTGTGTGCGCGCGCGCCTGCTGCCAAATCACTTTGCCTCACTTGGCCCCCCCTTGCCTACGTCATAACGGCAATCCCCACCCTACCCACGCCTACCCCTTCAACCACACACTGCCGCTCAACACGCCCATTTCGATTACTACTACTACTACTTGCTGTTTGGCCCTAACCTCCTCCCCTAATTTCATGCCCCTTCGCTCTTCCTCCCCGCCCTAAGGTTGCTTCGTTTCTTTTCCTTCCCACGTTCACGCCTCGTTCTGACGCGTGCGCACGGTCGCACGCCATGTCCACACCTGTCCTGTCGCCACGCCCGCGCGGTCCCTCACACTCACACACATCTTCTCGCCCCCGCGGTTCGGGATCGACACCAATGACCAGGCCAACAAACTCAATGCACTCGTCCAACACACTACCGCCGCTGACCCCTCGCATGAATGGCATCGCAAAGACGCCCAGCCATGTCGCCTCACATAAGCCAAAGGAGCCATCCACCCCTTCACCAAATTACTTTGGCCTTGCCGTCAGCAATACCGACCACTTCTCCTCAAGCGCTGCACAACACATTCGCGGCAACTGGAGTCCGCCTAATTCCAATGTACGCTCCACAGCCGCTGCCTCTCCAAGGATCATACCTGTCGAACAAAATCCCGAGTTTGAACAGTTTAAGAAGCAGTCGGAGAACAACCGCGCATTTGCACTTGGCAGCTTTGACTTTGCATCCCCCGGCCTGAAAGCTGCGTCCAAGAACTCCTTCTTCGCCAACTTCGACTCCCCACAGCTATCGTCTTCACAGTCAATGCCTCCGCTCGAGCGAATGGACAACAAGAGTGATACAAGCGACGACCAAGATCTATCGCCCAAGCCACGCTCGCCCAAACGCATGCTGTCCGAAGAATCCTCTCTATTTCCTGACCGACCGCGACGGAATTCCCCCGCTAGTTTCGACGGCCCTGGGCGCTCAGATGCTGTAGCACAGTTTGCCGAACCGCGCATGCCACGGCCATCACTGCCCTACAATCAATCATACATCTCCCACCTTTCAAAGTCGAGCCGCTCTGAGACACTGCCTGCAACTTTTGAGGAAGGATCTGGCACCGATGGCCCTACCATGACGAGCCCCCAGCACGTTGTCAACATATTGCAATCCTCGGTCGAAGAAGTCCTTCTCCTCGATCTCCGTGTTTCTACGCAATACGCAAAATCTCGCATTACGGGCGCCCTAAGTTTATGTATCCCCACGACCTTGCTCAAGCGCGCATCTTTCAATGTCCAAAAACTTGCCGAAACATTTAAACAAGACGACCAAAAGGATCGTTTCGAACGTTGGAGGAGTTGCAAGCACATCATTGTCTACGACGCCAATTCCTCGCAGCTCAAGGATGCAACGGCGTGCGTCAACACTCTCAAAAAATTCACCACGGAGGGATGGTCGGGTGGTACGTTTATCATTCGTGGGGGATTCCAGGAATTCTCGGCAAGATTCCCGTCTTGGATCACGTCTCAGGGCTCTGGAAGTCCAACGTCTGGAACGGCTGCTCTCAGCCTCAACTCTGATCTGCCGGCTGTCGCACCTGTTATTGGCGGCTGTCCCATGCCTGCAACACAGAATGCGGCAAATCCTTTCTTTGGCAACATTCGGCAAAATATGGATTTGATCGGCGGTGTCGGACAAATGCCCGTGAAGCTGCCTGCAGGCATGACCCAGTCAGTCCAAGAAGACCTTCCAAGGTGGCTGCAAGCAGCCTCAAAACCCCAAGACAAGGGCAAGACCGTTGCCGAGCGTTTTCTGCAGATCGAAAAGCGCGAACAGAAGCGCATGCAAAAGGCCCTGTCTGGCCAAGTCGTCTATGATGCCCCCTCGTCCTCGGGCACTAGTCCGTCTGAACACATACAAATTGCAGGAATCGAAAAGGGATCAAAGAACCGCTACAACAACATTTGGCCATATGAACACACGCGTGTCAAGCTTGAGGGTGTCGCCGCGGGAAGCTGCGACTATGTCAATGCCAACCACGTCCAAGCCGCATATTCCAATAAGCGTTATATTGCAACACAGGGTCCCATTCCGGCTACCTTCAAAGTAAGTGGTTTGCTGACACGGGTGCATACTAGCAGAGAGTTGACTAATTGTTTACTTAGGACTTCTGGAACGTGGTGTGGCAGCAAGATGTTCGCGTCATTGTCATGCTTACCGCCGAGCAAGAAGGCGGACAGGTCAAGGCTCATAATTACTGGTCAGAGAAGCAATACGGGCCGTTGCATCTCAAAAGCCTTGGCGAACGCAAGGCATCTCTAGAGCCATCCAAGATCCACCGTCACAGGGAGCAGTCTAGACCACCAGTCGGCCAGCGCCGGTCAACCAACCCGCCTAGGCTTGCCAACTTCACTGCGGAAGCAACCGCCGCACCTACCAGTCAGGAGCAGCCGTACGTCACCGTTCGCAAATTCACTCTGTCAAACGATGACGAGCCGTTTGCGCGCATGCGTGAGATTACTCAGCTTCAATATTCTCACTGGCCCGATTTTGGTGCGCCAGCCCATCCCGCCCATCTTTTGGGTTTGGTTGAGCAAACAGATGCTGTCGTGCGCTCCGTCAACGGAGGCTCACCTTCACAGCCTGACCCGCCTAACACACGCCCTATCCTTGTACACTGCTCTGCCGGATGCGGACGTACTGGCACATTTTGCACCGTAGACTCGGTCCTGGACATGCTTAAGCGGCAACGACAAGCTCGTCATATCAAGCAGACTAACAACAATTCCAACAACAAAACATCCGAAAAGGGAGTAAAAGACGACGAATGGGTCAACAACGAAGACATTGACCTGATTGCCAAGACGGTGGAAGATTTCCGTCTGCAGCGCCTCAGCATGGTGCAGAGTTTACGACAGTTTGTGCTCTGCTATGAGAGCGTTATGGAGTGGCTTGTGGAGCAACACCCCAAGTCTGCGTAAAGCGCGACAACACCAATCGTGACCTGGTAGGACGGGTAAGACGATTGTTCACCCACAAATTATGACATGGACATGAGAATACGAATTTGAAATTTGGTGATGAGGGAGCAATGGGCGGCGCATGCATCTTGTTCATCTGGGTCGTGGCAAAGGCAAAGCTCATTGGGAGGCGTTTTTTTCTCTCGTCTTGTCTTGTCTTGTCTTCTCTCTACCTGTTCTTCTCGCATCGATGCATTACCATTGCATTACTCGGTTAAACAAGGGGACTTTAGCATTTTTCGGTGCATCGGGATCGGTGTACGAGGAGTTTGTTGCCCTTTTTTTCTTCTTCAGCTGGGAATTTTTAAATCTGGAGTTTGTGTTGTGCAATAGCGTTTGTGGGAAATGGGAAACTGTTTTCTTTCCTTCTGGCATATACCATTTTACCAGTGTGTCATTACTTTAGATAGATTAATACTAACCAATTGAATACCCTATGCAATGATCCTATTCACTACTATATTTACGGTCCCAAGTCTTCTTTTTTATGTTTGTTTGTCAAAGAACCGTCTACTTGAGACTCTTTACTAGATCAAAATCTATTATGAAACCCAAATGCAAACTTTTTTTGTTAAACAAAAAAGAAGAAGAATGCCAGAGCAAAGAAAGAGGAAGAGGAAGAGGAAATACGTGAAACGGTTTCGTAGTCTTGCAAGCTTGGGAGTGAAAAAAAAAAGCAGAACAAGGATAAAAAAGACCTGGTCTCTGTTCCTCTTGTCGTTTTTTTTTCTGTCCGGTGTACTACCACTACTTCTTGGCCGCGACAGGCGATTACTACCAAGTCCAAACGTCATACATGTATCACATTTTGTTTCAATCAATATTGCGCGCCCCCCCCCCCCTTCTTCCCTTGCGATGAAATTGTCAATCAGGACATTTTAGAGAAAAAACAAACAAACAAACAAACAAACACTATGAGAGAGAGAGAGAGAGAGAGAGAGAGAGACTGTAGAAAAGAAATACCGGGGCATTTTGTTTTCTCTTTTTTCTTCATGTGCATACAATACAAGTTCGTATAGGTCATTATCCCACGTCGATTGAATTCTGCTGTCGTAATTTTCTTTGAATACGTGGGGATAGATTAGAATACATTACAATATTTGCTTGGCTGCCTTGGGAAGAAAAAATAAATAAATCAGCAGAGGTGGAATGGGTACTTTAAGATTATTGATTTGCTACGTCATGATATGGCGCTTTTGGTGTGTTTGTCCGTCCGTTACATCCGTTCATCCGTCCACCGGTAAATACGTACGATACCAGGTATTAGGTACTAGGTACTCGGTAGCGCGTACGTATCTAGACACGCGCCCTGCGCGGTATTGGCTTCTCCACACCCCCAGAATCTATGATACCAGGATGTTTGCTCTTTCCTTTGAGGGACCTCTCCGGGATATCGCGCTTGTTTAAAATGCCCTAGTCGAGAGGAAGAGGGAAAAAAAAATAAAAAAGTGGAAACGCGACGACACCAAGCTCGTCGGTGAGGCATACGTACTACGCATGTACGTACATATGTACTTACATGAACGTAGCAAGTAGGTTGTTCAACCCGTTGTACATGATGCGCCATGCAAAGTACAAGAAACCCCACAATACCACCGAGCGCCAAATGCGCCAAACAGAGCATGACCGATGCAGTTAATCTCCGGCTCCAGCCACGTGGCTGGAAACAAATCAAGAAGAGAGAGCGAGAGGTATTGTTGAATGACGTATGCAGAGAGTCGGTAGAGAGAAAGAAAAATAGCAAAAGAAAACCATGACATTAGGTGAGGAAATGCGAATAATGTCCCGGCACTCTTTGTCGGCATTTTTCGCAGTCGTCCCGATAGCCCATGCTGAAACGGCCCATGCCCGTTAGAGCACCACTTCGCTTCCTGCCGCGAGGTGTGTTGGGTGAAGCGGTCGTTGGCCGTGTCTCCGTGTCCATGGCATCAGTCGTGCTTACTGGCGAGACGCAAAGCCGTGACAGTTGCGACTGGGTTTGGGCGGTAGGCGTGTCGGGAATATCGTCGTCCTCGGATATGGGCGAAGGCATGCGCCTACTTCGGTCTTCATCTAAACCTTGTTTGGGTCCTTTCCATGCTGGGGGCGGGGCCTGCATAGGCGGTACATGGATACTACTGATATCCAATCCGCCCGCTGAGCCGCTTATCGGATAGCCTACACCGTTCATTCCTCCTCTCCTAAAACAAGGGTGTATGGGTGTTGGTATCCGGCCATTGCTGGGTGCAGAATCCGAGTTGAATAGTGAGGGTTGGAGCATGGGCGGTCGCATAAAGGCGCTGCCAAAGGAACTGAATGCAGGCGACTCTGGCGGCTGGCTCCGTGCATCTGCATCGTCATCCATGTCCATGTCGTAATCCATTTTACTCGACTCTCTTGATATGCAGAAGAAGCCATCTTGAATAGAATCCGGTGAGTCGAGTATTCCGTGGTCTGAATGTACCGGTGTCATGGAACGGATGTCCGTAAACAGCCTAGGTGGAGAGGGTGTTTGAAAGGGTCGGTGGGGTAGAGTTGATTGTGATTGGAAATGAAATTGGTCATTGCTTGTGTGATTTGCAAAGGCTGGCCGTGATTTCTGGGCCCTACTGGTTAGCCAAAGTCAAGAGTTGGATGTATAGTAGGCTGACGTACCTTTGTGTACCTGTCCTCGTCACAGTCAGAATCCTCGTCAACGTCCCGATGGCGCTTCCGGTAGGTGGTCTGAAACATGGACATGACGGCTCTTGCAAACAGGCGTTGTTGGGTAATTACTTGACGGTGCTAACGCGCCCAGCAGGAAGTGGAAGTGGGGGGAACGAGCAGACTTGGGCAGCGGACAGGGCGATGGAGGGGTATGTAAATGAGGATCCGGGGTGGCAGCTGAAGCGCCTGAAAATATGTTTTGAAGCAAGCAGGCGAGGGGCTGATACGGCTATCAGGGGCCGTCGCGGTGTTTCAGGCCGCATGAAAAGAACCCTGGTTTGTGTTGTGGAGTCGCGCGCCTCTCATGGCCTGGCGCTCGGGTGGGGGAGAGTCCTGTTTGGTCGTCGGGAAGTCGAGGGCCCGTTGCCTGCATTGGCAGGCTCCTAGGCGAAGCAGCGATTCTGCAAAGGATGGTGTGGCGTAGCGTCGAGGAGTCGTGGCCCCGGGCTTGCAGAGTGAGGCCGACATGCAGCTGGCCGCTGGCCGCTGGGCACCGCCTCATCACGTGCATCGCATCGTATCCTACACATGCACAGTAGCAGAAAGGGGAGCTGAGGTGGACGTGGTTTTGTTCGTCGCCGCGAGCCGCAGGTGGCGCGTTCTTGTGTTTCTACAAGGCAGCTGAACAGGCACCAGCAGCTGTGTAGAGACGGGTAGTCTAGTCGGTGTGGGTGTTGGCTGCTGGCCTGAGACGGCTGGGGATTGGCGCAGGCGGGACGAGGGCGGCTTCGCAGAGAGTCCTTGGGGGATTAGAGAGGACACTCTGCACCCACTCACTCTACCTCTCTCTATATATGTCCTTGCACATGCATGTATCTATATATAAACATCATGTCTATGTGTACCCTATGCATTTCACACCATACATACACATGTACAGTGTATGCATAGTGTACACAAGTAAGCTTGTATATGTACATATACGTAGAGTACAGGGCTGTCGTCACCGCAGCCAACCGGAACATGGGCATTGCCATCTGTCAGGCCCGGGCTTATTAGCGAGCGAGCATGCAGGGCGGTGTATCGATAAGCCAACTCTAAATGCCAGCCAGAACGGACCATGCAAGCGTCCCCCCCTCCCCCCACCCTGCCAAAAAAGGCTCACTCCACTTCAAAATAATTTAGTACCAAATCTGTGTCTGACTGTACGGCCAACGCGCCTTCAGCTTGACACGCGCCTTCACATATCTTCTCGCCTGAAAACTTCACCACCAGCCCTTGGTCTTGCGTCTACTGCTTATTTTGGCCCCTCGAGCTGAATTAATTGACTCTACCTATTCACGCTATTTCTTGCTAGAGCAACATATAAACAACCCCGCCTCTGCGTCTCTCGGGCAGTTTACACCCCTCCCACCCTCCAATTGCCAGTCATATAGCCGTTTTGTATGTGCACAGAACACCACAACCATCCCTCTTTGACGTCTCAAAATATATGCTAACATTGAAAAGTGCACAACACTTTCGCCGCCTCCGCGTACACAGGCTCATCCCGCAAACATGGCCTCCCACAACCAAACCAACGACGACGTGCGCGGTAAACACCCACTCGGTGACACAGTCTGCGAAACAAGGGCACTGACATTGCTGCACAGTACTTGGTTATGACCCACTCATCCCTCCCCAACTCCTCGCCCAAGAGCTTCCCATCCCCGACCACGCCCAAAAGACGGTCCTCCAAGGACGCAAAGATGCTGCCAGCATCATCACACAAAAGGACGACAGGCTACTTGTCATGGTCGGACCCTGCTCGCTCCACGACCCAGAATTGGCCGTCGAGTACTGCCAGCGTCTCAAGGCCTTGGCCGACAAGCTCCAAGACAACCTCTGCATCATCATGCGCGCCTACCTCGAGAAGCCACGAACAACGGTCGGCTGGAAGGGCCTGATCAACGACCCAGACATTGACGAGACGTACCAAATCAACAAGGGCCTTAGGGTCTCTCGCAAGCTCTTTGTTGACCTCACATCTGCCGGCATGCCCATTGCCTCAGAGATGCTCGACACCATCTCCCCACAGTTCCTTGCAGACCTCATCTCCCTTGGCGCCATTGGTGCCCGGACGACGGAATCCCAGCTCCACCGTGAACTGGCGTCTGGTCTCTCTTTCCCCATTGGCTTCAAGAACGGCACCGACGGAGGTTTGACAGTGGCCGTTGATGCTATCGGTGCTGCCGCAGCAAAACATCACTTCATGGGTGTTACCAAGCAGGGTCTGGCCGCCATTACCAGAACCGCGGGTAACGAGCACTGCTTTGTTATTCTGCGTGGTGGATCCAAGGGCACCAACTACGACAAGGACAGCATCAAGGCTGCCCGCGAAGCTTTGAGGAAGAAGGGTCTGCCCGAGGTCATGATGGTCGACTGCTCACACGGTATGTTTTGTCCACTCATTCTGAGCTTCTCAGCCAAAAGTAGGACACGCCACTAACACATGTACAGGCAACTCGAACAAGAACCACCGCAACCAGCCCCTTGTAGCAAAGGACATTGCTGACCAAATCCGTAACGGCGAGACTGGCATTGTCGGTGTCATGATTGAGTCCAATATCAACGAGGGTAACCAAAAGGTTCCACCCGAGGGCCCTAGCGGCCTTAAGAAGGGCGTCTCCATCACCGATGCCTGCATTGATTGGGATACTACTGTTGAGACGCTTGAGAACCTTGCTGCTGCTGTCGCAGAGAGACGGGCACACAATACCAATGGCGCACAATAGAGTCTTTATCATGCATCATGTTTTGTGTATGAGAAAGGAGCTTATGTAAGCGTATTTGGTGATTCAAGGCGTTTTTCCATTTGCCCATCTTAAAATTTTATCATATAGGAGTTTAAAATGAAGAAAAAAAATCTTGTCTCGGATAGACACGACTATGGCTTCAATATTGTTATGAGGGTTACGAAATACACTTATGAAAATAGATATAACTTTTCATTCTTGCTTTGCTTGTAAGCTTCACGCCAAAACATTCCAACGCTTGAGATCCAAATGGGGTATCAGGAGTGGCCATAGTATGTGAGCCATCGACATGAACACCTCGTTATTCATCCTCCTCATCCTCATCCTCATCTTCTTCCGCCCTCTCGTGTAGCGTACTTCTCCTGCTTCCCTCGTTACTCGTTCTCGCAGCCACCCTATCCGCTCTCTCACCCACAAACACATCTCCCGTGCACTCTGTCCGGCACCTCGGGCACTTTCTTTCCCGGTCCCTTCTCCCCCGATAGTAGCTATTCGCACACGCATCGTGCCACCTCACTCCGCACTCTCTGTTGTTGCACCTGATGCCCACTGTGACAATCTCCCTGCAACCCTCGCAATCCCGTATGCGAAGAATTTCTCTTCCATCTTCGTTCTCGTCAGCAGACTCATTGTACGTCTCCTTGAGGTAGGCGCGGAGTTCCATGAGGGCCCGAGGAGCAAGCGAATAATACCCCGCGCGGGACTTGTTGAAGAAGCCTTGCGCTACGAGGCTGTCGAGCACGTTGTCGGCTTCGGCAATGGAGATGCTCGTGTCTGCGCCTTGCAGTTGCGTGTCTTGCGTTTCGCCGTTGAATTGCGTCAATGTGCCGTTGAACTGGCTTTGTCTGTTGCGTCGCGATACGCGGGCGAGCTGCGATGCTTCTGTGTGCTTTACAGCCATTGTCTCGCGGACGCTGGTGTTGTTGGTTTCAAACATGTGGTCCAGGAGACGCCGGATGTATGCTATTTCGTTGGCCGAGAAGGTGGTTGCAAGCTGTGTGAGTGCGTCGCTCGTGTTATTTACAAGTGCGTACACAACATCTTTGCTTTGCTGGTCACGCATGGACCGGATTTCATAGTCAAATATCTCAAGTTTGGCGTTGATGGTTTGGATTGTCGATGTCAGGTAAGGCTGCGTTACATCGTCTTCTGTCCATGGGCGGTTGGGGTCAACGGGATATGTCAGTATCATACATAGTCCACATCTTGTGTAGTAGCTTACTGTATGCCGTCATTATATGGGCTAGAATGGGCTTCATCTCCTCCACAGTGAGAACGCCATTTGTCTGAAAGGCCTGGAGAAATGCGCGGTGTATTGAGTTATAACCCTCATCTTCTATGGGTGCGCGAACAAATGGTGATTCGCTTCGAGACATTTTTTCTAGACAATATGAGAGTCCAGATGAGGGGTTTGTGTTCAAGAGACAGGCAATCGATGTACGCAAGGGTGGGGAAATTTGGCGACGCGAGAACGCGAAAGCACGTGAACAGAAGTTAGTACTACTACCCCAGATGTCTTCTAGCATTATGCCTTGCATCATAGGCTATCGTCACTGCATAGCCTTTGATCCATGAATTAGCAATAAAAAATTTCAACTTTGTAGCCAGAAGAGTTGCACATGAGTGATTTTCTTCATTGCACTATGCTGAGCTTGAATGCAAGTTGCCTTGCGCTCACATCTAACAGTACTATTATACTCATCACTGCAGAAAAGCCAATTGACACTGAACAGCGTTTGCCCTCATATATGAATGCGTCTAAAGACTCAAAAGTCCTATGTAGTCTAGCCAATTCAACGCCTGCTCAGTCATCTAATGTCTTACCCTGTCTCTTGCGCCTACACATAATACAATATCCCGTCATCTCGGCGTATAGATATCCTCGTTTCCGTAGATTCATGGTCTGCGCAGTCTTAGACTGGCAGGTCCGAGTTTCTCGTCGCTCCACTTATTGCCTGCAGAGCCTTTGCAATGTAGGGGCCAATGATCGGTACGTTGCTAACGAATCCCGCAATGGTTGCGAGGAAGTCGCCGAAAAGAACGAGTATGCCATATAGTTCGACTATGAAGCCGACGAATGCCCAGCGCATGAGAATGAGCGATATGCCGGCAACGAAGGCAAGGGTGCCTTTCCATTTTTGCTTGCGGGCGAAGAAGGCGACCGTTTTTGTTGTTCCGATGATGAGTGTAAGACCAATTATAAAGAGTATCTGTCGGGGATGCGTTAGAGACGCTCGGGGAGGTGGGTGAGAGGAGAGAGGCTTACGTTGCCCATCGCTAGCCTTTTCATATGTCAGTAAAACTCAAAGGTATGACTGGTTTATACATACATGGCGCGGTCAAAAAACATCATGACACCACCCATTAGAAAAAGTCCGCCTATTCATCATGTCAATCCTGCGTCGCATAACAGGCGCATTCGCAAAAATAGACGCATACCTACCCCCGGAGCAGAAGGCGACCCCAATCTCTATTCGTCATGTTAGAAGGCGTCCAAACGAACAGTCCAAGGACTGTGGGGGTTGCGCATCTTACTTTGGGTATCTGAAAGCCACATAGTCGGCATCCTGGATGTGTGTGATGGGTGTAATTCGCTACGTGCGAGGCGGTACAGGTAAGGAACGTCGAGGCAGAGCCACAAGTTAAATAAAACGATGCGAGCAACAGAAGTGATGCCTAGGCTCGAGAGATATCTGGCATGAAAGTGGTAACTCTGGTATGCCTGTTTCGTGTCCCCTCGGCGGAAGTTGAGACGCGGGCGCGCTGAAGTGGTGGACCAACCAGCCCGGAGCTCACCCCTGCTAGCGCATCTGTTCCTGCGGGAGACGGCATAAAATTCTGGCTGCATGTTCCTCACACTCGAACGAACCACCTTCACCCCCCACGCTGCATGGATGCAAGTACCGATACACATGAGCAATTAATGTATTGTTCTATCGTGCTACCCATGTTACGCTGCAAACACAATAATCAATGTAGACATCGCCTTGACAACAGCGTGCTTCGAGCTGCTGTAACTAGGAATCCTCACGCGAGATCCTGGTATACTGTCTTATGGGCGTAGAAGAAAGCTGGATCACGGTTAAGCCGGAGCACCTCCTTGAACCATGGGCCGAGAGGCTTGTGGTGGGTGGAGAGTAGCTTGACTTTGATGATCATACATATACACTGGAAGCTAGCCCATCTGGCAAGCGTCTATGGCTGAAGGCTCGCACAGCGTGGCCGGCATCATCAATCTCGAGTCGGCCAATTACTGCTGGCCCTAAGCCGGCTATGTCGTGCGACAAGCTGGGTTGATGTGCTGCAAGCACCCCAGTGAGCGCGCAGCTGCAGTAATTGTCGCATCATTATATCCGGCCCTCATTTCAGGACGGTGTGTGCGCCTCTTGCTGCGAGATAGCCTTCGGATACATTCTGCGGCATTGTCCTGATGCTGCCAAACACTTCCTTGTTGTGGTATCTCAGACGCGTCTTGGGATCCGTGTATGGTGCAGGGAGGCCGGTAATGTCGCAGTACTTTTTCTGACTGCTTGGGTGGAAGCTCGGTGCAGACTCGATGTTTGTGTATGTGGGTGCAGGGCCGGCTGCGTTCCCTCCCGCAGCTGCTCTGCCATTCTTCTCTAGTACCAGCGTACTCAGGCTTTGAGCCGCCTGTGCAATATTGGGCTGTCGCCCAGCGTTTCCAGCTGCATTGGTGCCTTCACTGATGGCAGCTGGAGTTGAGATACCACTGTTGTTCTGTGTGGCCATCACCGAGGCCTCTTTCCGTGAAGCTTCGCCGAGGATCTGCTTGAGGTTCTTGTTGCGGCGCTGTGGCGGCTTCCAGTTGGGATTCCGGAAGGGCTTGGCGACTGCATAAATGTCGAGCTTGTCCAGGAGCGCTTGATGCGTCTTTTCGTCTGAAGCGGCTGTCAAGGGCGCCATGGTGTGAGGATTCGGTGGTTAGGATTCGGTACTTGTGCTTGGCTATGTCGCGTTCCTTCAGCAGTGCCTGGTCGCGTCGCTCGTCCAGAGGCTTTGGGTGCTGATGTTGCGTGCGAGGTAGAAGGGTATATAGTTTCGAAATACAAGCTTCTGTGTATCTAGCCACAGAGGGTGAACGAGATGGGTAACGTGTACGTGCAAGGATGAGGATGGCTGCGCTGAGAGACGGAGCTTGCGGAGGTGGAGCTCCTCCGAGGGACCTGCATGAGGTCGCTCACACTAGCTGTTTTGATCCTCCCCACCAAACATCTCCAAGGCGCGCGCACTCCATAGCAACACAATACAGCCGCAGACATGGTGAGCTCTACGAGCATGTCTCTTGTAGCCGAGTCGGGTATCTGACAGGTCTGCAGGAAAGCCCCCATGAACACCAGCAAAGCCAACTGCTTTCGCGCATCATTGTCAATGTTGTTAGTCTACCCACGTCTTGGAGCAGCAAGGCCCATAGTTATACTGACTACCGCAAAGGAGAAACTAAACGAGGCAATCATGATGTTGAACAAGAACCTCCAGGAGATCAACATCCAGAACATGGACACGGAGCTGGTGGCCCAGATGTTCAAGAACTACCAATCCAATGTGCTCTTCCACCTTGAAGGTACACAGTGCATGACCCGATGAGCGTTTACAGAAATGACTGACAGCTTCTAGCAACAAACGGTCTCAAGGATCCTGCATGAGCGGAAACATGTGCGCTCACATATGTGTACATAGATTGTGTCTCCAACATGCAGTAGACGACGATGGATGAGCTTAGTAGATAACCCATGTATGCATCGCAGTAGGAATCACAACTGAAGTAATCAGGTAGCCAAATAATGAGATATGAAATTACTACAATTCATGACGCAGAACCATACTAGTACGTAGTAGGCTCAGACAGTGCACATATCCAAGGAGCATGCGGAGACGGGCCCGGACCACCGAGCACCAGTACCCAGAGAGCCTCACGATGACAACCACCATGTCGCGCAACAATCGCGCTAACCACTCACGCAATACACACACGCCCCACGCTCCTCCAGCTGCGACATGATCTAGATACCACCCACGCAGCTTCAGCCCCATCTCCCACTCGACGCAGACATGGCTCCCTCGGCCATTGACGAGATGCCTCAACCCGCCGGGCGCAATCCACCTAAGCCTCCGCCAAAGCTATGGAGCGTGTCAGAGCCACCTTTCGAGGGCTTCCGGCCTGTCGACCATGAAGGCTGGTCGCGTAGCAACAGCGAGACGGCCATAGTCATCGACAATGGTACCATTCACGCATCCACCATCGCCTTCTTGTCGCTGTATAAGCTGACGCATTGCAGGCTCCTCAGCAGTTCGCGCCGGATGGTCTTTCGACTCGAAACCGCGACTCTCAGTGCTCCCCAACATGGCCAGGTATCGCGATCGTAAGCTGAACCGGACCTTCACCTTCATCGGAGCGGACGTCTACGCGGATGGCACGGCGCGAGGACAATCTAAGCCCGTCTACGAACCCGGCAGCAACATCATCAACAACTGGGACGTCATGGAGGGCGTGCTGGACTACTGCTTTGTCAAGATGGGCTTGGACGGTCAATCGGGGCGCATAGAACGACCCGTTGTTATGACCGAGCCTATCGCCAACCTGGGCTATTCAAGAAAGAGTATGTGAGCCTGCGCAGGATGGAGCCTCGTGTTCTTGTGTTGCAGCCCGCTAATCGTGTATTTCACAGCTATGTCTGAGATCCTGTTCGAGTGCTACGGTGCACCTTCGGTCGCATATGGAATTGACTCGCTCTTCTCCTACGCTTACAACGGTGGTCGCAGCGGCTTGGTCATGGATTCTTCATACACTTCCACTCACGTTATTCCCGTCGTCAACTCAAAACCTCTACTATCGCAAACAACGCGACTCAACTGGGGCCGTTTCCAGTCCGCACAATACCTACTGAAGCTTCTGAGGCTAAAGTATCCCACCTTCCCTGGCAAGATCAGTGACAATCAGGCCGAGGATCTTGTCCGCGAGCACTGCTATGTATCGCAAGATTACGAGAATGAACTCAGCCACTATCTTGACTGGACTGGCCTCGAAGACCGAGATCACACAATTCAGTTCCCCTACACAGAGCAGATCGTAGTGCAGAAAACGGAAGAAGAACTAGCCGCCGCTGCTGAGAAGCGCAAGGAAAGTGGCCGAAGATTGCAGGCTCAGGCTGCCAAAATGCGTTTGGAGAAATTGAAGAAGAAAGAGGAAGAGCTCGAGTGGTGCCTACAGTTGCAGGCACAGCTTGAAGAGATTACTACAAAAAAGGAAAAGGCCCGTGTACTTGAGTCTAATGACTTTGACGACGAGAACCAGCTCAACAAACGTGTCAAAGAACTAGAGTTTGCCATCAAGAAGGCCCGGAACAAGGATCTCGGCGATGTAGAGGAGGAGCAGGCCGAAGCACCTACTTTCCCTCTCCTCGACGTTCCAGACGACCAGCTAGATGAGGAAGGCATCAAGCAAAAGCGGCAGCAACGGTTGATGAAGTCCAACTACGACGCCCGTCAACGCGCAAAGATAGAAAAGGAAAAGGAAAAGGCACGACTGGCAGAGGAACAGCGCCTAGATGACCAACGGCGAGAGGAGGATCCTCAAGGCTGGATTGAGGAGCGCAGGATAGCACGACAAGCCATTATCCAGAAGATCAAGGACCGTGAGCGATTAAAGGCCGAACTCGGAAACCGCAAATCCCTCGCCAACCAGATGCGCATGAAATCCATCGCGAACCTTGCATCTGACACCCCGACTAAGAAAAGACGGCGAGGTGGCGGTGACGACGACACATTTGGTGCTGATGATGCTGATTGGGGCGTTTACCGCACCATTGCAACAGGTGAAGGCTCTGACGATGAGGAGGAAGAGGACCTCTCCAAGAACCTCAAAGAGATAGAGTCTCAACTCCTCAAGCATGATCCTGACTTTACGGAAGAGTCAACACGGGAAGCGCAGACTGATTGGACCAAAAGTATACTTCATGCCTTTCTGCATGGCCCCTACCCGTTTGATCCAGAGTCGCAAAAGGAAATCAACCAGATCCATCTTAATGTCGAACGCATCCGCGTTCCAGAAGTGGTCTTCCAACCTACGATTGCTGGTCTCGATCAAGCCGGCATCGTTGAGATCGCATCCAACATCCTCACCGAGCGCTTAGGCGATTCTCCCTACCATGATGACGTCTTGAAAGATATTTTCCTTACGGGTGGTAACACCATGTTCCAGGGCTTCGAGGAGCGACTCAGAGCCGAACTGAGAGCCGTTTTACCGGCGGAACAGACAATCAGTGTACGGAAGGCGGGTGATTGTGTGCTGGATGCTTGGAAGGGAGCTGCACAGTGGGCTGCGAAAAAAGAGTCGAAACACAATTTCATTACCCGAGAAGAGTTTTTGGAAAAAGGAGCAGAGTACATCAAAGAGCATGATCAGGGCAATGCAGCTTACTAGGCCATTGCCATCTTTTGTTTCACTAGTTTTTGTCCTTGTTGAGCTTTAGTTCTCGTGTAGTCTAACATTAATGGCGGGTAGATGGCGTATTATTCTACTATGGTGGACTTTGCTGATTGGGGTCTCTGATGCTTGCAGTATTTGAAACGGGACATTTGATCGTCTTACTTTACTTCTTGATTCAGTCAATCACACGATGTGGGTATGTGAATCTACCAAATAGTAATGATCCTTATCTATATCATTGGTCTTGCTTGCAGATTAGCGGTCAGCATCTGGGAAGTGCTCTTGTGCTGCAATGCCCCTTTCGATCGCGCCAAAAGCCTCAATTTACTGCTGTTCAATCCAAATGTGAGAAGAATAGGTGGAGGGAAGGCGGCCCTAGAATTTAGGTCCCACAGCATTGCGCTGTTTCTGCAAGCCTAGTCGTTGGACTACTGTGGCAGGTACCAACACAATGGTGGATACGAGATCTGCCAGCACTGTCGACCAGGGAGATGCTCACCCTACGTAACACTTAAAGGGCCGACTTAGCGTTTCGATCGAGCGAAGCAATTCGCCAGCAGCTTTCCGGACACCCGCTCTGTCGCAGCCTGGGTTATTCCCATCGTACAACCGGACCAGCACGGCTTTGTTGGAGCGGGATCATAAACAGTGTGTAAGAAATAAAGTTTGAGCCGCGTGCTTTGGTACTACATAAATACGTGTCGCCATCGCCATTTGGATTACAAGTTTTCCTGCTTCTTGAGATCTTTATAGTACCATCTACGGTATATCCTACTACAATCCAGCTTTTTTTTCAAATACCTAGCATAAACATAACACTAAGCCAAACATGCCTACCACAGTTCTCATCACAGGCGGAAACCGCGGTATGCACCTTTAGCCTTGCTTTTCCATGCCAATCTTCTCATGAATTCACCTAGGGCTCGGTAAGGCTTTGGCAGAAGCATATCTTTCTATCCCAGACACAACCGTGATAGCCACAGTACGCGATACAACCAAAGCCGACGCCGCGCTGGCGCCTCTCCCCAAGGCCTCGGGATCCCGGGTTCTGACTGTGTATATGGAAATGGGATCCTTTGACACGATAATAGCTGGTGTCGAAACGCTAAAGACCACGCACAATATCACATCTATTGACATTGTCATTGCCAACGCAGGTCTTGTGGGGCCAACCCTCGGTCTCGCAAATACTCCCTCATCCCAGCTCCAACCATTCATTGATATCAACGCATACGGTCCCTTTGAGCTGTTCAAGGCCGTTCTACCTCTTCTTCGCGCTTCTACTGCCGAAACAAAGGGCAAATTCATCTATGTCTCGAGTGGCGCTGGAAGCCTGACTGGCATGCTTAACATCCGTAAGTGGTATCCAGATGTAATGATCATCGCACTTTGATGTGTCGGCTGTATATATGCGGCCAGGTACTGGGCTTTTTTTTCGTTGGTATCGAAACTTTCTGCAGGGCCTCATGCTAACTTTGTGTCTTTCACAATTAAAGTACCCGTGGCTGGATACGGAGCAAGCAAAGCACTAGCCAATTACTTGTTCAAGTGGCTGGCTCTCGACAACAAGGATGTGATTGTTTGGTCATGCGATCCAGGGTACGTGTCTATTGTCTTTTACATCATCACCAGCATTGCTTTGTACCTCTAAAAGGGAAATGAAAACCTGCTAATTACACTCGTACCAACAGATTGGTCGACTCTGATGGTGTTCGTGAGAATCTCGAGCAGGCCAAGGCTTTGGGCCTCGACATGTCTTTGTTTTCCTTTTCGCCAGTGGACGAAGTTGCGCGTGCAATGCAAAAATCGGTATGTATGGCTGGATGATGACGTTGAGAAGCATGTAAGGAAAATCGGAGAAATGGGCTGACATGGAAAACCAAATAGATTGCTGCTGCGACCGAGAGCTCAAGCGGACAGTTTCTGTCGAAAGAAGGTACCCAGATGCCGTGGTAAAAGACGAGTTCTCGTTGCTATATGACGAAGCGCGAGCGTAGACGGTATCTTTGATACTTGGAAATTGGATTCAGTATACCGTAAATCAAGCGTAGACCTAGAAGCATCGGTGCTTCTCCATTGTTGCTGTCACTCTACTTCGCCGTGTGACCTACTACTCTGGCTTTTAAAATCACACACACATAGAGAACCAAACTTGCATTCCCAGGATACTCTTTTCATGTTAAATACAAAAAAACAAAATAAAATACCCACAACAAAATTAGGCAACCGATCCATGGTTATCTTTTCCAAGTGGCGGCAGCCATGTGATGATGCGTCGGATGTCTCTAATCTCATAGAAACACTCATAGTGTTCTTTGGCATACCGAATAGCACGCGAATGATCGTCTGTTGCATCTGCGGCAGGATCTGGCTGATTGGCAAGAAGCATCTCGTAGTATGGATTGCAGTATTGCAGGAATCCACGGGGATGCTCTATCATATATTCCCTATACCGGTAAGCTAGAGCATATGGGTCCTTGTCTAGGTCAAGTGGCTCTGCCATTATATTATAAATGATTTTGACGTTGATGCGCGAGTATGATATGAGAGATTGGGTTACTGGTCACCTCTTTGGTCGTTTTGATGATATCGCAACAAAGGAGGAATGTCTTTGTTGTTCAACGGGATAGTGACTATGATACTGTGAGACTCTGGGTCTACTAGTTCCTTTCAGACTTGAAACAACACGCTGCATAGGAGGATTAAGCCCATTGTACCGATGTGTTTGTTTGATGGGACTTCTATTTTATCACCAAGTCTCGGAGAGCAATCGAGTTGGAGTGGAGGGGAAGAAGACAGTTATAGGTTACAATAAGTCCCGGGCTTCTTGACAATGGCTATTGCAATCCATACAATAGGTGAATTGTCAGTTTTTCGAGTAGTGACATTGCTCATAAATGTCATTGAGCGGCAGCGACAAAGGCGACATGGAACAGTAGTATGTGTGTTCACGACCCTCGCCCATGGACGCTCGTGCCAAGAGTGGATCCTGGACAGGCTAGTGTGCGCGCTTGGGTAAGTGGGGCTTAGCGCAGATGCTAAGATTCTGGCAAAAATTGAGCTTCCGAACAATTTCTCGAACACCACTTCAACATGTCACCGAAGTCGTACGTTTGTTTCATCCAAGTCATCATGTTAACACTAATCAGATGATTGTAGAACTGTTCCAACGCAGAGCGACATTACGCTTGTGCCTGAGAACCTTCTCAAGAAGAGGAAGTCTCAAGAGAAGGCTCGCGAGGAGCGCGCAATCGCAACCCGGGAAAAGCGAGGTACGAGCCATCTCGCATGCCATGGCAGACTCCGAGAGGCCGATTACGATGATTATAACAACCACACTATCGGCTAGACTCCGGTCAATGTTGTCGAATTGTTAACCATCTTTCGGGAATGAGAAAATTGACCTCTTGGAATCTCATGGCATGCTATCCTGGTATGAGACAATGCTGACATGAGACAGACAAGAACAAGAAGAAGCGCGAGGTCATCTTCACAAGGGCAGAGAAGTATGTCAAGGAATACCGCGATGCCGAGAGGGAGCGCATAAGGCTGTCGCGCGAGGCCAAGAAGAGCGAAAGTCTCTATGTGCCCGAAGAGCCAAAGCTTGCCTTTGTGGTGCGCATCAAGGGTATCAACAAGATTGACCCCAAGAAGCGCAAGACATTGCAGCTTCTGCGGCTGCTCCAGATCAACAATGGCGTCTTCATCAAGCTTACCAAGGCTACCATGGAGATGTTGAAGATTGTCGAGCCGTTTGTTGCGTATGGTTACCCGAACCAAAAGTCGGTCCGTGAGCTTATCTATAGTAAGAGTGACCCCCAGTGTAAAGGGATGTTGGCAGTACTGACGTGATTGGCAGAGCGTGGTTATGGCAAGGTTGATAAGCAACGGATTCCCTTGACTGACAACGAGATCATCGAGGAGAATCTGGGCAAGTACGGCATGATCTGTATGGAGGATCTGATCCACGAGATCTGCACTGTTGGCCCCAACTTCAAGGCGGCGTCCAACTTCCTGTGGCCGTTCAAGCTCAACAGCCCAACGGGCGGCTTCCGCAAGAGAAAGTTCAAGCATTATATTGAGGGCGGTGACTTGGGCAACCGGGAAGAGAAGATCAACGAGCTGATCAGACAGATGAACTAGTGCAGTGATTTGAGTTTTTGTCTTTGTTCAAGGGTTGGCGCGCAAAAAGCTGGTCGGATATACCACGGGACGGAGCATTTACATTGGCGTTTTGGGACACTTTGACGGAAGTGGAGGGCACGGTCCCTCTGACGAGTCTAAGTACTTGAGTAGTTGGGTGCAAGGCACCAGCATATTGAATGCATATGACGAGGCAATGTTGAAACTTGTGCAATGTTTTGGCTGAGAAGTGTTGTCTGTCCGACAGTGGACGTGGTGAATAGGGCTTGAGGATAGAGTTTATGTAAGTAGTAGCATATGGTCTTGTGCTTGGTGGCTTTTTTGTCTGTTCGCCCAGGTTGATGGCCAGCACGGAGGTCAGAGCTAGCAGGCGCTGCCTGTGCCTGTGCCTGTGCCAATGCCGCGAAGTCCGAAGGCCGAAGAGGTGCAGCAGACGGGTGCGAGAGTTCGAGTGGGCATTTTGAAATGCGATGCAGCGATGCAGGCGTGTCGAGAAGGGCAAGGCAGCCGTCGCTGAAACACGGGCACTCGGAGACGTGGTGTTGGCGGGGGGTCCACTAGGAGCGGCCAGGTGTCGCTCGTGATGTTTGGGTGTGCAGCAGCAAGGCCAGGGCTGGGGGCCCGGTTGGCAGGCACGTCTCGCAGGCCTCGCAGGCCTCGCAGCAGCCTGGCGCTGGCCGTCTTTCTCTTTCTCTTTCTCTTTCACGTGCCGGTGCCGCGGAGCTAGGCCGAAAAGGGCCAGTAGGAGAGTGACAGGCTGGCTAGCCAATCGACTAAGGGCTGCCGCATGTTCCATGAGATTTTTTCCTTCTAGCTGCCCACCCTCACCGCACCCAGCGGCCGGCGTCAAATTGAGGGCAATCTCGTCGACATGGCTCCAAACAAGATGCAAATTGACGCCACGTCAGGCGGCGGCAATGGCCCACGGGGTCCGGGTGGCCGCGCTGTGTGACCCAAGCGAATCGTGTGGTGCCTGAAGCCACACATTGCTGTGCCATGGGCGAGCAGTGAGCAGCGAGCGGCGAACAGCGAGCGTCACCAAGGCAATGGAGCGGCCAGCAGCCAATGGCCAGCCAATGGCCGGCAGCATAGGGGCTGGCGGTCGGAGGTGCTGGTGGAGCAGGTGGCCGGCCTCGAACACACTCACATGCATCCCAAGACGACAGGGTGGGCACTTGCTTATGCAATTGCACCGAGCCCAGAACGATGTGCCGAGCGCTTGGGGGGGGGGCTGCGAGCCCGCTGCCCGAGTGACGATTGCAATGGCACAGCATGTGCGTGGTAGTGGTGAGCAGGCGGGCGGAGGCGGTAGGTGTTGTAGGGTTAATGACGCCTACCCACCGGCCGCACCCTTGCCCATGCCAATGCCATCTGCATCCCAGCCCGCTTTCGCCGCCGACGTTGTCACCGCCACCGTGGTGTTCGGGCTTGGGGATCGATGTGCAAAGGTCACGCTGATCGCAGCACCACAGCTCCGCATCGCCGTACTCGTCTGCTGTCACTGCTACCTTTACTTGCACCATGTACGTAGTAGTAGTATACTGTAATCATAGCCCATAGCCCATGGCCCCCGCTCGCCGACACCTACCTAAACGTCTGACGCTTCCGTGGGCCACCTGTCGTGGGAGGCAGCAACTCAACGGCCGCGGCGGCACAATTTTTTTTTCACGCATGGCGAACGGGCCCGAGGTGACGGTGGTGGATATCGCCATCAGGCTGCGATTCGTGGGCTATGCGTCTTGATGCCCACCCACCACTACCACCACCACCAAAGCAAAGCAGAGAAAGCGCCAGGACACACAGGCTGCTGCTGCGTGCCGCAACCACGGCCTTCGGCTCGTGTCTGTTGCTCCTGCTCTTGCTGATGCAGCCGCCAATCTGGCCCCCCCTAATTTTGGATAGATATTAAACAACAAGGCACTCGAGCACAGTCGCAATGCCACGCGCTCGTCTGGCGGCGGCTGTTCGCTGCTTGGATTGCTGGTCCTCCTCCTCAGGCCTCTCCAGGCGCAGCGGCCCAGTCAGCCCGCTACTGCAGGCGTGCCGAAAAGAGGGCGGGAGGCCGGATTGCACGAGGAGAGGCGGGCGATACGTGGCTCGCTGTGGTCGCAGGCGCAGACGGCGGTCCCTGGCGGCGTTCATTGGCCTGGGGGGTCTTGGAGGTGCATTCGCTCGCTCCAATGCGTGCACAACCACTGCAGCACTCCTGCGTCAGGAGTCATGAGCGGTAGTCACCGCAAGCCATGGACGGAGGGGAAGACATGACCCACTAAACCCCAAGTGGCAGAGTTTTCATGGCACATGAGTGGGCACACACACATGTAATGAACCGTTGTTGCAGGCGCACCCTTCGGATGGAGACGGGCGTCCTACTACGTACAAGGCCCCTTCGCGGTTGCTAGGCCTCGCTAACTGCCCTCGACGACACACCACCCACTCATCACCGCTTTCTGCCCTGCCCTGCCCTGCCCCATCCCATCTTTCCCCCATCTCCCCCTCCCTCCCCTCCACCATCCATCCATCTCTCCCTCCCTCCTCTCTCCCTCGTCCTCCTCTCTCCCTCGTCCTCCTCATCCTCATCCTCCTCCTCCTCGTCGACCACCCCCTCCCATCTCCTCACGTCTCGTCGTCGCAGGTGTTGCTCGTTGCAACACAGTGACCCCAGCCAAACGGACGTGCGCATCCAATCTCGGCTGTCACGGCACCCCCAAGCCGCTCAGCGACTTGACCCGACGCTTGCTCTGTCTCCAGGCCTAGCCCAACTGCAAACCATCACTGTACTGCCACTCTTGGCTCGACAAGTCTGTCTGGCCCAGAGAAGACAAATCCCGGCTGCAGTCTCTGACATCAAGCGCCTCGCCGCCTGCCTCTTCCTCTCACACACACGCCCGGTGTGCAATCTTCGCCTCTGGTTTTGGCTTGCGCTGCGTAATTGGGCCCGGCTCGGTTTCAATCTCTGCTCCCTCTGCGCCATCCACCACAACATCCCCGACCCCAGCAACGTCGTCCTGCCCTCCCGACCACGCATCGCCGGATCTATTGACTTAGCCCCGGCTTGCTCTTGATCAACCGCCAGTTGCCCGCTATCTGTCGACGCATACTTGGCCGCCTTCATCTCATCTTACCCTTTTTCCGCTCGACGCCTGCACGCACGCACGCACACACGTACGTACGCACGTACGCGCCGCGCAACAAGCAGTGCCAAACATCCTCAACACACAACAACAAACACTCCTTGCAGGCGACAAATTTTCCTTGAATGAGCACATCTTGCTAGAGGGTCCGTAGGCTACTCTAGAGGCGGCGCGAACGAGAAGACTGTACGTCACAGCCAACAAATCTTTCCAGCGCCAATCCCCCATTCGACGCGCCACGCCTCGCTTGTTGCTGCTAGAAGCCTTCACTAACACAGTGCCAGGAGCCCTGCCAGTCTTCTCTCTGCGACGGTCCGACACCATCATGCCTTCCTTCTACCCCCGGCATAACATGCCTCGGCTCTCTCCGCCAGAGTTCGTGCCCAGCTATCACTCTGCATGCGGTGCATCATACCCACCGCAACAGCCTGCTTATGCTGGTCCTACGATCCGCCAACAAGATGATGGTTACGACTTCGCAGACCGCTACGGCCAACTGGCCATCGCCATGCCACCCATGTACCCGCAGGCCGGCACCTATCTAAGCACTGCACCCCCCAGTCTCCCTCCAGCCAACTCGTTCTACGATCCCATGGGCGCAACTCTTCCTCCAATGCGCATGCAGTCTGGAAACTCGATGGCGGATGCAGCAATGCAGCAACAGCAACAGCAGCAGCAGCGACTGCACGAGTACAACCAGCGCATAAGCCAACAGGCTAAGGAAGAGAAGCCCGTTGGTGGCGTCTCAGCCAAGTTGGACTACGACATGGAGGTCATGACCGATTTCGTATGCGACACAGCCCTGCGCCTCATAACTCCCGGTCGAATGATGCCTTCCACCTTTCGAAAATGGGTACATCAAGTCCTTTGTGCCACGAGGCTTCCCTCGGCAACCATCCTGCTCAGCATATTTTATTTGTCCAACAGGATGCCGATGCTGGCTCACGAGCCAAAGACGGATACTCATTTGTTCCGCCTGCTTACCATTGCGCTGGTGCTTGGTAGCAAGTTCTTGGATGACAACACCTTCATCAACCGTTCTTGGTCAGAGGTCAGCGGCATTCAGGTTCATGAGCTGAATGAGCTCGAGCTGGAATGGCTCCTCGCTATCAAGTTCAAGCTTCATCGCGACCCCGCGGAGCAACAAGGCTGGACCTCTTGGTCAGAGCACTGGAAGGAGTACCAAAAGACCGCTGCTGCACGCGCAGACCGTACCAGCAAGTTGAGTCCCATTGACACTACGATGCACCGACGCTCATTCAACTCCAACAAGCCGCTTCCTCCTCTGCCGATGCAGCAGGCTTACACTCCATCGTACGACTATGCGCCCAAGTCTGCACACTACAACCCTCCGTCTTATTCCCAGTACGATCCATGGAGGTCCGCAAGCGAACATTCTCCTGCGTCTGCACCTACCACGGGTCCCACCACTCCCGAGTACTATGGCGCAACGGGCACTTGGGCTCCCGTTGAGGGATATTCGCGTCGCACCATGTTCGGATTCCCACCCTTCTCTCAGCCCGCCCCTGTACAGGCGTCCCAACAGTCGTCCAACTATGGTCCAGCAGCCTACTCACAGTATACGCCTTCTGCATGGAACCAGCATGGCCTGAGTTGTGGATGTGCGTACTGTATCCAAAGACATCCGCCATACTTCATGGCTCCCGGCTATGGCCCCCAGGCTGTCGCTGTCTAAAGCTGTCCTCGATGAGCTGGACATTATCGCGACGCAGTCTTGTTGACTTTCCATGGATACACATTCGTCGTCCTATTTCAGCGCTTCCTTTGTTCAAAAAGTTTCTGCTCATTTACACAAAGTACCCCGGCTTACCGAAGCCTCCACCCCGATCATCCAGTCCCGGCCACTGGATTCATTTGTTCGCTTCGATTCCTTCAAGCCTAGACTACCGGACCCTCCTACGGCGCAACCGCCTTATTCCCTAAGCTATTTGCACACATATTGGCGCCACTCCGGATCTTACGAAAACGCATCAGGCTTGCAATTATTTTGCACGATAGATTTCACAATTGTCGTCCCCCCTTTGTTTTTTCTTTCTCCTTTCGCTCTTTGTTATCATGGGTATTACGTTTTAGACTTTGGTTTGTCCATGGTCTGATAGGAGCATGTCAGCGAAATTGTGGGTTCTCGGCGTTAATGTTTTACCACCTGGGGGTGCCATTTTGCACTTTTACGATTGTTCATTTCCTCAGCGCTTCCTCCAAGAATATGCACGGGGGGCTTCTTTATCCATTGGTTCATGGTTGTTTCTTCTTCGGGGGCAGGCTGGCGCTTCCAGGGCGTCAAGTCACTCCTCGCACTCCATACGTTGGCGGCTACCAACTTATCTGTCATTGCTGGAGTGCTGCTTATCACGTTCATGAATGTTTTTTCTTTTTTTCATTGTCGCCTTCCGCTGTAGTCGGGTTGTAATTAATGGCACAAGATCGGCGATAAGGAATTCGCTTTATTCTTTTCGGGGCGGTGGGAACAAAATACCTCTCGCTTTTTTTTACGGGCTTTTCCCAGCCTATGCACCACTTTAGGCAAACGGAGGAAGTGTTATTTTTGGCTTTTTTCTTGCTTTTTCCCCTTTCTTTCTTTAGTGTACTACTGTTATACATTGAAAGATCCTGATATCCCGGGACACAACAGAATGCGAAAAAAAAACCCTAGAAAAGCGACGAAGTCGTATAAGGAAAACATGACTCTTCTCAGGTTCCGAATATGGGTAGTGATGGAGTGTTTTCTCTTTGCTGTGTATAATTAGGTGGTTTGGGAGTGTGAGGGTATGAGTTGGGCTTCATAGGCCTCTGTTGGTTGGCAGAACAGAGTATCAGAAGATAGCGGCTTCTTCTCGTAAATTAGAAGACTGGTCCAGTGTATGCAATTCAATCTGAGTTGTTTCTATCTCGGTATACCATGTGCAGAGCGTGTGTTCATGGCTGTATGTAGATTCTCAGTCATAGTATGAGAGTGAAGTGTAAGAAATAGCAGGGTTGGTGCTACAACGCTTTATGCTGGCGCGATAGCCGCTTTGCCCATGGGCGTGACATACAGATCTTGGATTGATTGTGTATGCGCCAAAACCCCATGGCTGACCTCAGCACCACCTAAAGAGGACAGAACCCGAAGGGCAAGTATTAATTAGAGGCGCGTGTCTCTCCATATGCTGACAAGTCTGCATGGACGGACGAACTACTACCCGAAATTCCCCGCGGATAGGCAGAAGCGCGCTATGCACGAGGCTGACCAACACACGAACCCTGACCAGTCAGTCCCTCGATTCGAGCTGAAGACAGTGAACAAGAGATCGCACAACCCCATGGCAAATTTGTCCGAACACGGATTCCCTGTTGATGGCGAGAGAAAACGGCGAGTGGATTGGGTGGGTCTATAGCAAAGTGCTGCGCAACGCTAGCCACATGCATGGCTCGGTTATCTCACTACGTCAACCATGTTAACTCCGTTATGCCGCGATTCTTGCCCACTTGAGACTCATCTGCAGTCTTACCGCCAACTCTGGAGGACCAGAAGACCGTGGGGTCTAATCTTCTTCGTCCGCCTGTAAGAAGACGCGCGTGTCTGAGCCTTTGTGTGTGTGTGTGCACAGCCAGCCACAGCTGCAGCAGTTGGTGAGACCGAGCCTAACGCTGTATAACTACACCTACATATATATGCAATGCCTTCCCTGGTTTCGCTTTTTTCTCGTCGCTTGAGGCTCCAGCTGAATGAAGCGCGACTTACACAGTATCAACACAAAGCTCGCCGCTACCAGTGTTTCTTGCAAACACCGCAGTTTAGTACGACAATCAAGATGAGTTCAATCGGAGGCGCAACTATCGGTGCAGGGCTGTATGCTGCAGTGAGCAACCCAGCGCAGATTGCTGCTACGCCCGAGGACGCAGCAGATAAGAGACATCACTTGAAGAACGGCAAGGGGTTTACCAATCCCTGGGACAGCTATGTCGATGCTACTCCATGGCAATTGCTCACGGGCCTGGGTTGGTAAGGGCTCCCGTTTCCTCGCTACTCACGCTTCTTTACAAATAAACGTCTATGCAGAAATCATAATCTGACATACCCATCCAGGCGCAAAATCACTGGTCAAGTAAACGTCCCAGACACCACGCCACCCACTGTTCCCGTTCACACTGCGTCTTTCCTTCCCACTCGCGAAACATCCAAATTACGCGCAACATGGCTCGGCCATGCATGCTATTACGTTGAGTTCCCCAGTGGACTTCGCGTACTTTTTGATCCCGTCTTTGAAGACTGCTGCGCGCCCGTCAACATCAAGAGTCTAAAGCGTTTCACGCCTCCTCCTTGCGAGATAGAAGATCTACCCGTTGTAGACGCCGTCGTTATCAGTCACAATCACTACGATCACCTTAGTTACCCGACCATCCAGCGGCTGCACAAAAAGTTTCCCGAGGCACACTATTTTGCGCCCTTGGGTAACAAAGAGTGGTTTCTTAAGAGCGGTGTGACCAAAGTGACCGAGCTGGACTGGTGGGAGAGCAGAGACTTGCAATTGCAAGAAAAGAACGACGCTGTATCTGTTGTTCCGAGTGGAAATACAGAGGTGGACAAGAAGGTGAGCGGTAATGGCGTCATCACCGCGACCATAGGAGCACTGCCTTGTCAGCATGTCAGTGCCAGAGGTCCCTTTGACAAGTGCAAGACCCTCTGGGCAAGCTGGAGCGTTGAGTCTGGTGGTTCAAAAGTATATTTCGCCGGGTACGTTCTACTCCCCCACCTTGTGTGCCCTTTTCTCCGTCCGCTCAAACAATCCGATTTACTGACGAGCAAATCTTTTCTCTCTTAGTGACACTGGCTACCGAACCGTTCCCAAAGGTATACCTGCAACAGAAGACGACTACTCGGCCGCATACTCGCACCTCCCTACTTGCCCGGCCTTTGCGCAAATTGGTAAACACAGAGGCCCCTTCGATCTTGGCCTCATTCCCATTGGCGCATACGAACCCCGCTGGGCGTTTAGCAACGTCCATGCGAATCCCAAAGACGCAGTCAACATCTTCATTGACACTCGCTGTAAAAGAGCGCTAGGCATGCACTGGGGAACCTGGGTCTTGACAGAGGAGGAGGTCATGGCGCCGCCAAAAGAGCTCAAGGAGGCATGTGAATGGAAGGGTATTGAACACGGTAGAGGCGGCTTTGGCATTTGCGATATCGGGGAGTCGTGCGAGTTTGAAAGTGGAGCAAGCCCGGAAAAGAAGTAAACGTTTTTGTGGGGAAGGGGTTTGACTGGATGCGTGGTTGGCGGAAATGATTATTTTCAACTTTGTTTCTGATACCCGGGATTCGATTGTTGTGGTTTGTTCGAGCTGTTGAGCAAATGAGGACCCAGACATGAATTAGCTCTATTGCATTCTTGATCCTCACAACTGCTGTTTTGCACAGCTGATGCGTACATGGTTGTACCAAATTCCGGCCATGTGATTTCTACCGCTCCAAAACATATACAGCCGTGGGAGGTTGCTGGAAACTCTATAGTATCCCATCAATTCCTTGAGAATCTCAAGTCAACCCCTACCTCTATCGTTGTTATAAACATAAGTAATTCTAAACGTATTGCAAATTTAATATTATTGTGAAGTACATATTACATCGTCGAATATTTCTATAAATAGACTGAGTTCTGAGTATCCAATCTTAGCAGACTAGACCAGGGAATATAGACTTTAGGCGCTCTGCTATACATATGTTTATTACAACAACACAGTACGCTTTCCGACGAGACCTACCCGCCACAAAAGCGATAGCACGCACCCTCGGCAATGCTTCTCGAGCATATGAACCCCTGGTACCGTCCACCCTCTGAATTCGACCCAGCATCCTTAGCCGCCCTCTCGTTCCAAGCACCTGTCAAGCTCCTGCTCCACCACACCTACCAGTTCCTCAGCCACCTACACTCGACACCCAAGCCTCTTCATGAACTCCCCATACGTGTTGTTTGCATATCGGATACGCACAGTCAAATCCCCGACAACGTCCCCGATGGCGACGTGCTCATCCACGCTGGTGACATGACCAACGACGGGAGTGTGGCAGAGATACAAAAGCAGATTGATTGGTTGAGTGCGCTGCCGCACCAGGAAATCGTAGTGATTAGTGGAAGCCGTGACACGTTTCTCGATCCGAGGGTGAGGGCTTCGCTGTCGGAAGAGCAGCGGCGAGGCGCGTTGAACTGGAAGAGAGTGCATTACTTGCAGCACCGACGCGTCAGTCTCACGATCAAGGTCCAGCCTGTACACGGCGACGATGCTACTGCTGCAACCAGTGTGAACACGCCGTTGCTGGCTGCGGACCAGTGCCAGAGACGCATACGTATATATGGCGCGCCGCAAATACCCGCCTGTGGCCCCATGAACGTTCACGCGTTCCAGTACGAGCGGGGCCAAGATGCTTGGTCGGAGACTGTGCCTGAAGACATAGATATTCTGATTACGCATACACCTCCGAGATTCTACCGCGACCTTTCGTTGCCAGTGGGCTTAGGCTGCGAGCACCTGCTGGCCGAGGTTCAACGTGTGAAGCCTGCTCTACACGTCTTTGGTCACGTACACTGGGGAGCTGGTCAGACAGTCGTCTGGTGGGATAAAGCACATGATGCCTATGTGCAAGGGCTATCGATCCAGTCCAAATGGACTCGTGGGCTACTAAACCCAACCCTATGGTTGAATGTGGTAAGGGTTATATACCGCGGTATCAGGGAACTGCTATGGGATCGTGTGTGGGGAGGCCAAAGCCCTAATACTATCATGATCAACGCAGCCCAGATGCATGGAAACACAGGGCGTCTGGCCAACTCCGTCCAAGTCGTCGACATCTAATGTTGCCTATCACGGTATACAAGTACAAGTCGTAATCGTAATGTATAAATGAACACCTTTTTTTGATCAACACAGCAATAGCACTTCATTGTCGGGAAGCCTTTTCAAACTAAAAAGGATTCTGTTGATTTAGCTCGACTATCTCTCACACGAGAAGCCAAGTTCAACATGGAGACCAGGCAGATTCGCCGTTCCCCGCGACTTTATTGTGGTCATGAAACCATAAATCGTGCAAACCATGCCATGCCATATTCCACCACTGAGAGCCACTTGCGCGCATACGCTCAGAGACGACGACCACGGCGACCACCCTTTCTCCTGGTGGAGTCGGATGGGGTAGGGGTGACATCCTCAATACGTCCAATGCGCATGCCGGCACGGGCAAGAGCGCGGAGAGCGGACTGGGCACCGGGGCCGGGGGTCTTGGTGCCGTTACCACCAGTAGCTCGGATCTTGACGTGGAGAGCGGTGATTCCGAGTTCTGCATATATTAGCTCGTGCAAAAGAAACTTCTGGATGTGCCCGACTTACCCTTGCAGCGAGCGGCGACATCCTGGGCTGCCAACATGGCGGCGTAGGGAGAGCTCTCGTCACGGTCGGCCTTGACCTTCATGCCCTGTTGTACTGATCAGCGACTGTCGCATATAGTGAGTGAGCGCGTCTGGGCGCACTTACACCGGTGACACGGGAGATGGTTTCGCGGCCAGACAGATCGGTGATGTGGACAAAGGTGTCGTTGAATGAGGCAAAGATACGGGCAACACCGAAGACGAGCTCACCCTACAAGATGGTCAATTTATGCGGTTGTTTCCAATTGTCTCGCGACGACGAACCTCGCGGACCTGGGGTCCGAGCTGGATGTTCTCCTGGGGAGCGCGTGCAACCTTCTGCTTGGGAGGCATGTTGGCGGTAATTACGATCTGGGCGTGACTGGCGGATTCGTGATACTGTCGGCGACTGCAAAGACGAACTTTCTGGTGGGTGGAAATCGCTTGTGTGCGGAGGAACGTAACGCCGCTGTTAGCGCGCCAAGACCCCGACATAACTTTTCTCCATCAGCCGTGAGACGCCTGCAGTTCTTGCCTCTACTTTTCGTTATGGGCTGATCGCCAACACCAAATTCACGCACCGGAGCGTGCGATACCACTGCAACCATGCGAGACGGCAAGAGTGTTGGCCTCATTGGCATGGGCGACATGGGCAAGATGTATGCTCGACGCCTAAGCAGCGCTGGATGGAAGTGAGTGCATTCGCTCGTACCATAGTCCTATCTCGACTAGTTTTGCAATTGGTAAGTCATGACCTCTTTTACTCTCCTTCTCCCCTGTTATGATGACCGTGAGTGCATTTGGCTCGAGTACGGCGTCGTGTCCGCGCTGTTGCCGTCTTGGCTTTCAGCATCTGGCCACGGCGTCGTCCATGATGTGAATTCTCGCTACCTAACTTTATACAACTCTGAACTACACCAACTCCAATCCGCTTAGTTCATACTTGTCACGCGACCTTTGCTAACCAGTTGCTCACAGATTACTGCCATGATCAGCTTTGCTAATACGATCCCTCTCAAGGGTCCACGCTTGCGACCTCCCGGATAAGTTTGATTCATTAGTAGAAGAGTTCAAGGACTTTGTAGGATAGCACTTTTATATAAACTTGATCAATGAACTCATGCTGAGACTGTGCCAGCCCAGAGTGGAAATCATGCAAAACGGTCATCTCGTGTCTCGGTGCAGCGACTACATCATTTACAGCGTTGAGGCTAAGAATATCGATGCGGTCGTGAAGGCCTTTGGTCCTTGTATGCCGATGCTCCTGCCACTGGCATTGTCCGAAACTGACCTGTCTTGCGTATAGCTACCAAGGTTGGCGCCATAGTTGGCGGGCAAACGTCATGCAAGACCCCAGAAATGGATGCTTTTAACAAGCACCTTCCCAAGGATGTCAGCATCGTCTCCGTGCACTCCCTCCACGGGCCTGGTATAGATCCGAAAGGCCAACCGTTGGTGTTAATCAAGTACCGCGCCTCGGATGATGAATTTGCTTTTGTGGAGAATATCATGTCCTGCCTTGGCTCCAAGCACGTCTATCTTAGTGCTGAGCAACACGATCGCATCACAGCGGACACGCAAGCAGTAACACACGCCGCTTTTTTGAGTATGGGTGGCGCATGGTATGCCAACAACCAGTACCCGTGGGACAGCTCCCGTTACGTTGGCGGTATTGAAAATGTCAAGATGAACATCACTCTTCGCATCTATTCCAACAAGTGGCACGTCTATGCTGGACTGGCAATTCTCAATCCGGACGCCAAGAGGCAGATCAAGCAGTATGCCGAATCAGTCACTGAACTATTCAAGCTTATGCTCGCTGGGCAGCGGGATGAACTACGCGAACGTGTGCATACGGCGCGTAAAGCTGTATTTGGCGACAATGCAAGCGGCAAGAAGCTATTGCTCCGGGACGACCTGCTTGACCAGTTCGCCTTGGGCACAATTCCAGAAAAGAAGCTGAAAAACAACCACCTAAGCTTGCTCGCCATGGTAGACTGTTGGTGGAAGCTGGGTATAGTACCCTATGACCACATGATTTGCTCAACGCCGGTAAGAATCTGCCTTTTTTTCCCGAAACTCGACAAAACATACATGGAATTTCGTTAATTCGCTGACTATTGCTTTTTTTAGCCCTCGCGCATGTGGCTCGGCATCACCGAGTATCTCTTCTGCAACCCTGCTCTACTCGGAGAAGCTATTGAGACCGCTATTGACGACAACACGTTCCGCGCCGATGACCTTGAATTTACTTTCGCAGCCAGAGATTGGAGCTCGCGTGTTACCCTAGGCAACTTTGATGGCTACAGGGATAAGTTTGAGCAGATTCAGAAATACTTTGAGCCCAGGTTTCCTGAGGCAACTAAGCTGGGGAATGAGATGATCAACGTTATCCTGCAGAAGACGCAGGATAGTTGAGCCCAAGGGGGGGGGGGAGATGTGTATGTTAGGTATTCTGCAGCTCACTTTAATGAGCAATGGTGTCTCCGGAATGATACATACTGTGTGTGTCCTTTGCTACTATAACCACTTTGCTTTCACCCTTGTGCCAAGTTGTTATTTTCTGTACTTAAGTTCAATGCATCCTTTTTTTGGTACGTTGTTTTCACGCCAAGACTTGGGAAATGTAATTACACATTGAACTGTACGTTACGATCGCTCGCCAGAGGACTTTTATACTTCGTCCAGTCTAACAAACCAAACTCCTCAAGGCGCTTCTCCGTCCCAAGGGTTCGGTCACGTTGCTCGCAATACAAAACTTTCTAGTAGGTATGTTAGTATAGAGATAATAATTTATAGCTAAAGGTAGATTTTCTCTAAGCGCTAGTATGAGCCTTTAGCTATATTACCATTTCCCGCTATCTCCCACACCTTCTTAAAAGTTAGCTTTTCAATTACATCGTTAAATTCCTTACTTAAAAGCGGCCCCTGCTGATACCAGAAATGTCCTTTCTCCATCCATTGAGCATATCCCGCCAACCACCCCATCATGAACCTTCTCGCTTCTCCCCCACCCCCGAAAGACTCGTAAAGAACCTCTATCCCGGGGATTTGACTTATTTCCCCCATATTCGTCTTTTCTAAACTATCATATACGACTTCAAATTTGACTCGCATATGTTTCTCTGCTAATGCAACAACCACATTCCAAGTTCGATTGTCCTCCAAAATGAAGTACCGTTTCTGCCATGTCCCTGGCGGTTTGGCCAAAAGACGCGACGGGTATTTGCCGGTTGAGGAAGTATGTCTAAACGACACTGGAACATTCCCAGAGCCTGGGATCGCAGCATATTTAGCGGACAGGGAGACCGTGATTGGCAGAACTGCCACGTGTGTGGGCAGTGGAACGTAATAGTCCATGAAAATGCCTGGGTGGATCACTGCAAATTCTAGAGAGGTTTAGCCCAGTGCTTCGGCTATTCTTGTGTAACCTGCTACGTGTGAGGCGAGGAAAGGGTTATTAGAGTGTCTGGTTGACAAACAATCAGATACAACGCGAATGAGAACTAGCGCGAAAGATATTGGACTTACTCGTCAGTGAAGGGCAAGCCGCTGAATAAGCTAGGTATGAATCTCTTCGTCGTACTCGAATGTTCAGCAGCTTCAATAAGCTTCGGCTCTCCTGGGGAACCCAAGGGTCCACTGAAGATTGAAATCACTGCTTGAATTCCGTTTCGGTCAAGCAAAGTCTGGAGCTGGTCTACATCGGAGTAGTTGTTGGCATTGAGAACGCGAATCTTGTTATCCTCTTCGAATTTTAGATTTTCCTGTATACCCGAACCTGGGTAAGCATGGGAGATGAGGCCAGAGATCAAAAGGAATGGTAAAACAAAGATACCCTTCGGCTCAGAACAAGGACTTCGTAACTTCCATCTGACTTCAGGGCGTCAATGATGGCACGACCGAGACCGCTGGTTCCGCCGGCCACTGCAACTACTGTGAATATGACGATCGATGCACTGACAAGGAGTTCGGCGGTATATAATAGTGGGAATAGGATACAGAAGACGCCCCGTGAAACGTGGTTCAGATAGATGTGCGTATTTCAAGTTTATCAGCAATGATGATTTCTAATACTTATTCCATAGGTGTAACATTGGTCCGTTTAAGTTTGACCGGCCGTAGATCGGGCTCTTTTCTTGTGTACTTAACGCCGGCACGAGGTCGCTCAGAGTGTCCTATCAACTGTGCCAGGCTCTCGGTCGACCGATGAAGTCGGAGATAAAGTCGTCTAGCACCGAAAACCTAAAGCCTGCTTGAAGTTTTTATTGCTGCTACAACACAACTGGTGGTGTTTCATTGAATATGAACTTCGGAATAGGACATGTAGAGTTGGCTCGTTGACCTTATCCAGGTTGCATTTTGTATAATATTGTGATGGTGTGGATATTACGTAGAAAGGTGGCTTGGCTTCGCCGATCCACGTAAAGCCAAAATCTCTCCGATAGTCAAAACAGAGTCGAATGGGAACGAAATGTCTAAATCAGACGTGCTAATACACTGTACATATGCGCATAACATGTCTTTCGCGTAATTCGCCACTTAGTCTGGATCACAAACATCGATGCTTCCATAGTCTCAAACCGTTACTCTTTCCAACACAATCTTCTTACTTAGTTCTGAATTACAACACCTGTGATAGAGCAGCCGTACAGGCTTCTTCATCAGTCCATCTGGAGGCATATTGATATCAAACCCTAAGAGTGATCTTGTGAGAATTGTCTTGGCTTCTCGCCTAGCAAAGAAGCGCCTAGGGCGCATATGTCTTCTCAAACTAAAATTCATGTTGTATTCACTAGAGATGACGGACCAGAGGCGAAAATCGTGCATCAAACAACTCCAAATTCATTCGCTGCTTGCGACAACACATTCACCAGAACCTGTATCTTTATCTACACTGGAACCAACGGGATGATTGAGATATTTGCATAGTACTGAGCAGAGGGGTTTCTATACATATATGGCTGAACAGTGAACACAGTTGCGTCTTTTTTAGTCAAACATGCTGCTGGTTAAGTTAAGGCTTCTTTGTAGCCAATTCCTTGTAAAGATAGCGTCTGATAGCCTTTTTATCGAAAATACGGTTCACACATCAACTAAAGTGAGCCTCGGTTCTTGTTGGTCGGTTGCGGAGATGGTAAGGAGATCGAGCGCCAAAGCATCCGAGTTCTCAACTTCATGTGATCTCCGCAAGAATTGATTGCCGGCGCTGCGAAGTATCCATTGCTGCATTTCCATGGTTCCGGGCCTATTTAAAAGGATTTAGGATGTCTTGGTATTGACTTACTCGGGAATCTCCCTCTATATATCCTAGAAGAGTATAAGCCGATGGCTCGCTAATTCTCAGTGGCGATGTGAGAAATCAAGCGATCACCCGTGTACCATACTGCCAAATCGTAAACCATCAATTCTACCGGATCTATCGTCCATGACTAAGCTGTAGTCCGGCCACAGCTGTTGAAGTGTCGCCGCGGATTCGAGCAGCACAACTCTCTAATCCTCGCGTCATTGCCTCACAACTCCATAGTGCGAATTGCTCTTTCTTGCAATTGCCGTTGATATACATCTCTCATGTCAAGATTCGGATCTCACAACTGCAACCAGCCTCTTGACCCCTCATATTGGATTGCAGTTGAGTGGTTGCCTGAGTGCTTATCAATTCTATGAACCCTCATCGGCCATACATCCTCTTTCCAGAAGAAAAAGATGCCACAATCGATCCCGTGGAAATCCTCATCAAGGGGTGCTACACACCCGTTCTCGTAGAGCCTGATTGCTCATGCATCCACAACACAATCAGTACTTAACCGTCCATGCAGCATGTAGAGGCGCATTTGCAGGTGCACAGTTATGATAAATTATGTAAAATTCGTGGCTTGTGCTTTAACAGTGGGATTTCAAGACTTGTCAATGTACGTATTGTGTAAAAACAGCTAACGACCTAGGTACAATTCGATTAGGGTAAAGAGATGCGCGAATTACAATGAAGAAATGTTTGCTAGTGATACTAAGGGCCATCCACAACCTATGAAGGTCTGACTAAATTTAAAGGTGGAGTAAAATAGCCGACTGCCGACGGAAATAATATCATTTAAAACCTAAGGAAGTATATTCCTATCCACCTTATCCTCTCTATCTACTTTATATTTTTGTTATCTTTTAATAATGTACTATGACGTGTTTCACCACTAAGCGCCGCACTGCACTAAGCTACGTAGTCTTCCTACCAAAATAACGTTTTGATACTTCTTACATAATACTATAATTAATCTTAGTATTTAGTAGAATAAGATATTATTCTTTATATAATCTAATATTCGTAATATTCTCTAATTCTACTTAGCGTATATAGGGATTATATCTAACTTAACTATACTATCTATAATACTATTTACTATATAACGTGTTCTACTACTAAGAGTACTACTCTACTAAGTATACTACTTTTTCTTAGCATCGTAAACTTTATATATAATAAATAATGCCTTAATAATAGAATATAATATTCTACTTAGTAAGAAGATAGACTTAGTTTAGCTATTTAGGCTTATTATATAGGCTAATTTAAAAGTATTTAATACGCTACTATAGTCTATAACGTCTATTATTAGTAGATCTTTTAGTAGCTTTAAGAAATTACCTTTTAACTTATAATATAGCTAAATTACCAAAAGCTAACTTAATTTAAAAGTTAACTATTATATAATATATTATTAATTTAGACTTATAAATATTTACTCTCTAACTATATTAAATAGTAGATATAGTAAAGAAACTACTATATATATAAGATAATTAGTCTTTAGATAAAAACTAAATAAAGTAGTTTATATTATATATAAATAAGCTTAAAATAATATTTAATTAAGTAAAAGATTATTAGAGAATTTAGTAAGGGAATCTAAAGATTATTAAAGTATAGTTTAAACTTATATAAGAGACTGTTAAGAAGTATAACGTATTCTACTATTAAGAGAGCTACTTTATTAAGAGAGCTACTTTTTCTTAGTATCGCGAATATAACGTATAAATAATAATATCTTAATAATAAAATAGAATATTAATTTAGTAAGAAGGCTAAATTACTCTTACTATTTAGGCCTATTATATTAGATTAGTTTAAGAGTATTTAGTATACTATAGTAGCCTATAATATATAATATTCGTAAATCTCTAAGTAGCTTTAAGAAATTATATTTTAACTTAATATATAGCTAAAATACTAAAACCTAACTAAAGCTAAAGAGTAAATAATTATATACTATATTCTTAATCTAGACTTATAAGAAGTTATTTCTTAACTTTATAAAGTAGAAGATATAGTAGAGAAACTCTTATATATATAAGATAGTAAGTCTTTAAATAGAAACTAGCTAAAGTAATTTATTATATATTTAAATAAGCGTAGAATAGTATTTAATTAAATAAAGAATTTATAGAGAATATAATAGAAAGATCTAAATATTATTAATATATAATTAAAGCTTATATAAGAGACAATTAAGAAGTATAGAGTACTTTTAGATAATATCTATAACTTTAATA